GGTGCAATGCTTTGGGACTCAGGGAGTTATAATTTGGTGAAGCACCAGGGCTTTACAGCAGAGAATGATAAAGAGCTTGCAAAACTGTACTTCCTTGGACTCTGTTGCAATGAGTCAGGGAGGGCATAGAATCAGAGAATCATAGAGTTGGAAGCCACCTCGTGGGCCATCCAATCCAACCCTCTGGCAAGCAGGAAAATCGCATTCAAGGCATCTCTGACAGATGGCCATTCAGCCTCTTCTTAAAAGCCTCCAAAGAAGGAGCCTCCACTACAGTCCAGGGCCGAGAGTTCCACTGCTGAACAGCCCTCACAGTCAGGAAGTTCTTCCTAATGTTCAGTTGGAATCTCCTTTCTTGTAGTTTGAAGTCATTATTCCACGTCCTAGTCTCCAGGGCAGCAGAGAACAAGCTTGCTCCCTCCTCCCTGTGGCTTCCTCTCACATATTTATACATGGCCATCATGTCTCCTTTATCTGTCACCTTGATGCTGTCAAGGTGATGCATGCCATATGCCAGCAAATATGGAAAACACAAGAATGGCCATCAGACTGGAAAAAATCAACTTATATCCCCATACCAAAAAAGGGAAATGCGAAAGACTGCTCAAACTTCCGTACAGTGGCCCTTATTTTTCATGCCAGTAAGGTAATGCTCAAGATCCTGCAAGGAAGCCTCCAGCAATACATGGAGCGAGAGTTGCCAGATGTTCAAGCTGGGTTTAGAAAAGGCAGAGGAACGAGAGACCAGATTGCCAATATCCGCTGGATAATGGAGAAAGGCAGGGAGTTTCAGAAAAACATCTATTTCTGCTTCATTGACTATTCTAAAGCCTTTGACTGTGTGGATCATAATAAATTGTGGCAAGTTCTTGGTGGGATGGGCATCCCAAGCCACCTTGTCTCTCTCCTGAGGTATCTGTACAAGGACCAAGTAGCAACAGTCAGAACTGACCACGGAACAACAGACTGGTTCAAGATTGGGAAAGGCGTACGGCAAGGCTGCATACTCTCACCCAACCTTTTTAACTTGCATGCAGAACACATCATGCGATGTGCGGGGCTTGAGGAATGCAAAGCTGGGGTGAAAATTGCTGGAAGAAACATTAACAACCTCAGATATGCAGATGACACCACTCTGATGGCCGAAAGCGAGGAGGAGCTGAGGAGCCTTCTAATCAAGGTGAAAGAAGAAAGCGCAAAAGCGGTTGCAGCTAAACAGCAAAAAAACCAAGATTATGGCAACAAGAATGATTGACAACTGGAAAATAGAGGGAGAAAATGTGGAGGCCGTGACAGACTTTGTATTTCTAGGCGCAAAGATTACTGCAGATGCAGACTGTGGCCAGGAAATCAGAAGACGCTTACTTCTTGGGAGGAGAGCAATGTCCAGTCTCGATAAAATAGTAAAGAGTAGAGACATCAGACTGGCAACAAAATCCGCCTAGTCAAAGCCATGGTATTCCCTGTAGTAACCTACGGATGTGAGAGCTGGACCTTAGGGAAGGCTGAGCGAAGGAAGATCGATGCTTTTGAACTGTGGTGTTGGAGGAAAGTGCTGAGAGTGCCTTGGACTGCGAGAAGATCCAACCAGGCCATCCTCCAGGAAATAAAGCCCGACTGCTCATTGGAGGGAAAGATACTAGAGACAAAGTTGAAGTACTTTGGCCACATCATGAGGAGACAGGAAAGCCTAGAGAAGACAATTATGCTGGGGAAAGTGGAAGGCAAAAGGAAGAGGGGCCGACCAAGGGCAAGATGGATGGATGGCATTCTTGAAGTGACTGGACTGACCTTGAGGGAGCTGGGGGTGGTAACGGCCGACAGGGAGCTCTGGCGTGGGCTGGTCCATGAGGTCACGAAGAGTCGGAGACGACTGAACGAATGAACAACAACATCATGTCTCCTCTCAGCCTTCTCTTCTTCAGACTAAACATGCCCAGCTCTTTAAGCCACTCCTCATAGGGCTTGTTCTCCAGCCCTTGATCATTTTTGTCGCCCTCCTATGGTCACATTCTAGCTTGTCAACATCTCCCTTCATTTGTGGTGCCCAGAATTGGACACAATATTCCAGATGTTTTCTAACCAAGACAGAATAGAATGGTAGAATGAACTTCTCTGAATCTAGACACTAGACTCCTAGTGATACAGGCCAAAATCCCATTGGCTTTTTTTGCCGCCGCATGACATTGTTGGCTCATGTTTAACTCGTTGTTCCCAAAAACAGTTGGCAGTTGAAAGTGATGCCAAAATGGCATCGATTCTAGTGTAGATGCTCCCAAAGGTAAGTTGCATAGGAGACAGTGTGGAATCCATCTATTCTTCTTTTCTTTTTATGTTCTTGTCCTCCTTCTTTTGAATGAGGCTTTTCTCATCCTTCTTGAAAAGCAATGAAAGCTTTCAAGCCAAAAGCAGATAATAGGGGCGGGATTTCAAATACAGGCAATTTGATCTTTTTTCCTTTTTTTTTCCTGCCCCTTTTTCTTCTTTTGACTCAATGGGAGGACTTTGATTCTCTTTTCCAAAGACTTGTCTAGCAAAAGGAAAGAAAGAAAGAAAGAAAGAAAGAAAGAAAGAAAGAAAGAAAGAAAGAAAGAAAGAAAGATTTACCCTAATTGGATGAAGGGGTCAAATAATCCCCTTCCATTTTTCAGCAAAAAGAGGCTGTCTTTGTATATGCAGTTGCATCTACACTGCAAGAATGAATGCAGCTTGGGCTGCAAGACTTGGAAAAATAATTTTTCATTGCAGGATATGACTCCCAGAACTGCAGAAATGGCACAGCTAATGGCCCGCTGTTTCATGCAATGCTTTCCAAGCTCTGAAAGCTTGCTTCTGAGCATGCACAGATGCCACTGAGATGGGATTGAGTTCTAATCGTTATACCTTCCAATGAAGAAGCAGAACTATGGTCACAAGACACTGAGAGCTCACTTCCTTCTCAAAAAATGAATTTCTTCCAATATGTGCTGGCCCTTTAAGGAACGGGAGGGGGCAAGGAGTGTGAGGATATCCGGGAATTAGCCTTATCCTTAACGCGTGCGCAGTTGGAACATTGACGTTTTCTCTTCCAGAGGGACAGGAGAGCTCCTGGCACTTGCTGCGCCTGCGCAGTTGGATCATTGGCTTTATTATTCCCGGGCTGGTTATTTCAGCGAAGGGAAGCGTGCGCCTTTAGTGCGCCTGCTCAGTGAGAGCTGTGTTGTTTTCCCGCCTATTTGAAAAAAAAGAGGGAAAGGTGGGCGAAGCCGTCTGAGGAGACTGTCATTATTGTTTTAATGTAATACAATCTAGTACTAATGATATTGTAATATAATAATGTTAATATATTATATAGGATTTGAAGTTACATTATACAGGAATGTAGACGTAGGTCTTAATCTACGACAGGCATAGGCAAATTTGGGCCTTCCCTCCAGGTGTTTTGGACTTCAACTCCCACAATTCCTAACAGCCTCAGGCCGCTTCCCTTTCCCACTCGGCCGTTTAGGATTTGTTGTTTTACTAGGCCTTCTGTGCCAAAAAAATGCTGGTGCCTTGCCAAACTACAACTCCTGTGATTCTGTGGCACTAGCACTTGAAGTGGTATCAAACTGCATTAATTCTACAGTGCAGATGCTCAAGATGAGCCATATTCATGATGTGTGAAAGGCCCAACATTGTACCTTCTACACTGCCATATAACCCAGACTATGATCTGCTTTGTACTGGGTTATCTGAGCCCACACTGCCATTTAACCCACTTTGAAGCAGATAATCTGGATTTTATATGACAGTGTAGATGGGGGCCTCAGAAATCTAAACTATGAGATGTGGAAACACGATAATGTCATTCTGGCCCCATTATATGAGTCTACACTGCCATACAAAATTCAGATTATATGTTTTGATCTGGATTATATGGCAGTGTAGACTCATATAATCCAGTTCAAAGCAGATCATGTGGATTATCTGCATTGGTAATCTGGATTATATAGCAGTGTAGAAGGGACTTCTGATACCAATCTGAAACAAAAGGAATCAATTTTCATTTCAGAAGGCTTGAGATGCTTTTGTTTTATCATTGTAGCAAATGCATCCTATGTTCTGTGTATATCAAAGCAGATAATTCACTTTATCTGCTTTGAACTGGATTATCCGAGTCTACACTGCCATATAATCCTGTTCAGATAATCTGGATTTTAAATGCTGGTGTAGAAGGGGTCTGAAAGATTTGTTTTGATTTTGCAATCTTTATAAATAAAAATGTAATGTTCGTTTGTGGGATTAACATAACTCAAAAACCACTGGGTGAATTGACACCAAATTTGGACACAATGAACCTATGGCCAACAAGTGACGATAACTCAGGAAAAACACAGAAAAACACAGCGGAAGAGACTTAAAAAGTAAAAAAAGAAACCATTGCAACGCATGCGCAAAACCACACATATATATGCAAATACAAATATACACAGATATATACACACACAAAGCACATATACACAGACTGGGCCACAGCAATGCGTGGCAGGGGATGGCTAGTTTTAAAATAAATTGTTGTTATTATTATTACAATCAATCACCATATATGGAATTACTGAGGCCCCTTCTACACTGCTATATAATCTAGATTATCAAATTAGATGATCCACATTATTTGATTTGAACTGGATTATACAAGTCTATATTGCCATATAATTCAAAACAGATAATCTGGATTTTATATGGCAATGTTGAAGGAGCCATTGATTTGCTTAGATTTTGCTATTTCTAAAATAATAGTAATAGTAATAATAATAATAATAATAATAATAATAATATACCCCTGTGGAATCACAAAATGTTTTGTTTTGATTTTGCTGCTTTTTTTAAAAAAAAAGTATTATTATTACCTTGCTTTTCTCTCAGCTGCTTGCATTTAAACAGCAATACAATGGAAGACCTACAAAAGCTAAATTAAATTGGCATTAAATTTATGGAAACTGCTCTAATGTATTTTGTTTTGGTCCAATTCCAGGAGGAACGAATGGCGTATTCAGCGCAGAATTTTGTCGCCGTTTCTGATCTGCACCCGAATCTCACTCGTCCTGTAGGTCTTGGCGACAGAAGTCCTTTTTGTTTCTCTGGTGAAACTGTATATAACTACCTTAGATTGTATTACTGCAAAATTATGTAATTGGTTTGGCCCTTTATAGACTCACAGCATTGACATAATGAAGGGGCACAAAGGATGTCAGCTGCTCTTTGTGCCGCCTCCAAAAGTGAAAACTGATGCTCCTGCTGACCGTCAGTGCCGGCTGGACAGTCCATTGACGGAAGCCTCGGAAGCCTCTTTGTGCTCCCTTTAAATAGATGTTGAGTTGATAATTTGCACAGAGTCTGCATTCTGCCCTCACAATATATTCTTTGGGGCCGGAGACACCAGATTGCAAGCTGGGAGCTCCTATCACCTGGGAAGCCCCCCCCCCCCCCAATTCAGGCAAAGCTTGACTTCTCTTCATCATTGCAAAAAAAGATAATTAAGGAGAAGAAATATCCATTACTGGCTGCTGTTTTGACCCTGAGAGAGACTCAATATTGCAAGGTTCATTATTGTGTGCAGTGCATATGTTCATTGCATACAACTACAGGCTTTTTGAAAAACCTAATGCAGTTTCCTATGCAGTATTTCTGGCTTCATGTTTAGATCCAGGCCCCTTCTAGACTGCAATATAAAATCCAGATTATCTAATTTGAACTGGAGTATTTGGCAGTGTAGATTGATATAATCCAGTTTAAAGAAGATAATGTGGAATATTCGTTTTTATAATCTGGATGTAGTGTAGAAGGGGTTCCAGTAGTGTTAATTAGAGAAGTACATATTGCTCACACACACACACACACACACACGATTCATCAATTTGTACTTCTCACCCATTCCACAAGACAAAGGCCCCTTCTACACTGCCATATAATCCAGATTATGTGGAATTTCAAAGCAGATAATCCACATTTTTTGCTTTAAACTGGATTATATGAGTCTACACAGCCATATAATCCAGTTCAAAGCAGATAATCTATATGTTATATGGCTGTGTTGAAAGGGCCCTAGTCTACACTGCCATATAACATCCATATTATCTCATTTGAAGTGGATTACATGGCAGTGTAGACTCACATAATCCAAAGAAAATAATCTGGATTATCTGATTTGTTAATCTGGATTATATGGCAGATGCATGCTTAGACTTGATCTAAACTGCCCTTCAGAATTTCCTTTTTTAGAAGTTCATGTTTACTTTAAAAATACACACCTATTTGGTAATTTCTGCCCTACATCCCAGGATCTGATCCCAGGTTATCTGCTTATCACAGATTACCTGGCAGTGTAGACTCATGCAGTTCAGATCCTTAGATACAGGGCAGAAATTATCAAATAGGTGTGTATTTTTAAAGTAAACTTGAACTTTCAGTAAAGGAAATTCTGCAGTATTATCACATTATGTCACTCTATAACAGGCATAAGCAAACTTTGGCCCTCCAGGTGTTTTGGACTAAGTGGCTGAAGTGGCTGAAGGGAAAAAGGAAGGGGGATTTTGTTTCGGAGGGAGGCTGAGTTTGATGGGGGGGGGGGGCTGAGTCTGAGTGAAAGAGGGTCTACCCTAGCAAACCTTTTGTATTGTTACCCCAATAACCCCATCCATATGAGATATATTCAGCATGGTGATCGGATAATGATATGAATAAACATAACAGCCCCCCCCCCCCCCCCCCCCGGCTACATGCCTGCCTGAGGCTGTTAGGAATGGTTGGAGTTGTTGTCCAAAACACCTGGAGGGTCAAAGTTTGCCCAAACCTGCTCTATAATATCAGAAGTGAGCTGTAGAAACAACCAAAATAGCAAATATTTGGCAGAATGTCAACCCGAAGTGCAATCAAATGAACACAGAAATTCCTGTTTTCGGCTCCTTCGATATTCAGGATTTTACTAGAGGCTGCAGGAAAGAGATCTTATGCTTTTAATTTGGAATTAAGGAAATTTTGCTTGGCCAGGATCTAAACGGAATAATTCAGCAAAGATAAAATTTAGGAAGACCTTTGAAATAAATACTGTTGTAAGTGAAGTCTTTTAAGGCATAAAATAAATGCCAGCTCTCCATTATCGGCAGATTTATGCGCAGGATATGTTGCCATCTAATTAAATTACAATGATTTCAGAAGCAAAACATTTCGAATGGGGATTAATAGGCCGCACTTTATCAAAGCAGGCTTGAGGAAATTATAGTTCATTACACAGGAACTCATCCAGATAAATGCAGAAACAGCTTCCTTGCCCCATCTAGTGATTGAAAGAAACACAGCGCCCAAACACAAATCAAGGAACATGAAAGGCACTGCAGACTAATTCAACTATTATTATTATTATTATTATTATTATTATTATTATTATTAACTTTATTTGTACCCCGCTAACATCTCCCGAAGGACTCAGTGCGGCTTACAAAGGCCAAGGCCCTCAATAAAACAACAGCATAACAAATACAACAATAAAACTCAAAAAAGCAAAACCAATAAACATTAAAGTGATAAACAGTAAACATCAAACAATAACATCATGGCACATTTAAAAACAAGGGGCCGGGCCAAATGCAATGAATAAAATTAAAAAAGTGCTGGACATGACAGGTGAAATGTAAGGATTTTGGGATAGGTGCGATGTGCAGACAATCTTAAATCTCTAATAAAGTGCATTTGGGACATGCTGCTAGAGAAGTCAGCCATAGCAGAGCACTTGATGAACCAGCCTGGAAACAGCATATTATCTGAGAACACAGAAATGCTGGACTACTCTAACAACCACCATGTCAGACTACACAGAGAAGCCAGTGTAATCCACAAGCATGTGGACAATTTCAGCAGAAATGAGGAAACCATAAAAATAAAAAAAAAAATCTGGCTACCAGAATTTTTTTTAAAAAAACCCTTCTAAAATCAGGACAGTAAATAAAAAGTAACACTCTGAAAACAGGGGAATTCCAGGCATGAAACAATCAGGGCCAGCTAACACCTCCCAACAAAGGATTCCCCCAGGCAGGAAGCAGCCAGGGTTTGAAGCTGCAAGGCCAGTCAATGCTAGTCAAGGTGGCCAATTGCAACATTCACACTTGCCTCAAACAGACAAGAGTTCTTTCTCTCATACTGGACATTATTACACAGATATATAAACCTCACTAGTCTGGTTTCCAACAGACCTCACAACCTCTGAGGATGCCTGCCATAGATGTGAGAAGCATTCTCTCTCTCATCAGGAGAGAATGCTTCTAGAACATGGCCATACAGCCCAGAAAACTCACAGCACCCCTGGAATACAGACTGTTTATCAATGGAGATAATCTTCATTCTGTTTGTGTAAAAACACACACAAAGAAAGAAAAATAGATATAAGATCTATTTGTGTGTGAGCAAATTGTTTGGCAGATAATACATTTGTTAACTAGGTTTTGACCTAAGTCTCTTGTTTGCTTGCTCGGCTGCAGAAACAAACCACAAAAGACAATATGCTTTGGAATAAAAATAAATAAATGAACATACTTTTTATATTTCAAATGAGAAACAAATAAATAGGAATGTACGGTATGCAGAACCAAACAGAATGTCATAACCAGTACGAAAGCTTATCACCCAAACCACTGCATAGGAAATCTGCTACAAAACTGGAGGTTTTTTGTTGAGTTCTAGGGCTAGAGAAGCAAATGGCAGAAACATAACGACCCGCCCTAGGGGAGCGTGCTTGCTTCTTCAATATTCAACATTTACACAAATAATCAGCCACTGCCAGAAGGGACAGAGAGTGTTCGGTCGCCGCTGGATCTGAAATGAAGCGCCTTTAAGGGAGGATGTGCAGCTTAAATCCAGCGGGAAGCCAGGGCCCCCAAAAAGGAGCCTTTAGGCAAATTTCCCTCATTAAACAGTKTTTAGGAAGCTTGAGCTTAAATATAACAGTCATTTATTGATGAACAAACAGGAATTGTAAAGTTTGCTTGGTAAAGAAACCAGTTCTCTCAAACTTGTCCACAGGGAACAGGCACTATCTTCAATAACTTTGTTCAAAGGAKAATTCCCCTTTCTAGCTCCTCCCAGGCTACTGTGAACCTAAACCTGACTGATTTGAATCCACTACTGGCTGAACTGCGTCTCAGAACCGAGCAGACGTACCAGCAGGTCTGTAGTCACTTAGCTGGAGATCTTGATGATTAGAGCTGTTATTCCCTCCAGAATTCCTCAGGGCTGTAAGGCTGTTTCTCRGGAACCTTTGGGAATCTTTAGAGGCTTAAGACTGTTCTCCCCCGGGAAGTCTTAAGAGATGAAGCCTTTGTACAGGAGGACGTCTATACACATCCTCTGCATTGACTTCCTTTGCTGAGACTAACTGAAAAATGGCCCCTTCCCTCCAAAAAACCCAGAGAGGGGCGGGACCAGGGATCCTAACTATTATTGACAGGTGGCTTGCCCTATGAATGCAGCCAAAGGAAGCCACCTATCTGCAAAGTCCCTGAAACTTAGGACTATGAACAAACACTCAGTGCAAAACACAAAATTGGAGCCCCTGGAACAGCCGTTCCAGAACAGAGAGTGTCATCGATGCTGACGATTGTGCCATCACCGCTCAAGCAAGGAACTTTGAAATGGTTGTACAGAAGCTCTCTGAAGCTTTAGATGCCCTTACAGCCTATTACAAGGGAAACCAGCTGATCTCTAATCCATCTAAAATGAAGATTTGTGCTTTTCACCTTAAGAAGAGACAGGCAAGCATCTTGGGCTCTGATGATTACTTGGGAAGGAATCCAACTAGAGCATTGCAGCACACCAGAATATCTGGAGTCACTCTGGACCATGCTCTGACTTATAAGAAGCACTGCTTTAATATCAAGCAAAATGGGTGCTAGAAATAATATCATATGAAAACTGACTGGCACAACCTGGGGATCACAACCAGACACAGTGCCCTTGTGCTTTGCTACTCTGCTGCTGAATACGCATGCACGTTAAAACAGTGGATGTCACTCTTAATGTGACATGCTGCATTATCAGAGGATGTCTACGCCCTACACCACTGGAGAAATTACACCGTTTAGGCAATACTGCACCACCTGACATCAGTAGGGAAGTAGCAGCCAATAACGAAAAGGACCAAGGTAGTGACATCTTCAGCCCATCCTCTGTTTGGATATTAGCCAGCAAGACAAAGCCTTAAATCAAGAAATAGCTTCCCACTATTACCAAACTAATCTTAGACAATTATTAATCAAATCTGTTTGTTACTATGTTAGGCCCCTACCATACAGCTGCATAAAATACATATATATATATAATATGATATAATATAATACTTTATTTATATCCCACCCTATCTCCCTGAGGAACTCAGGGCGCTTTATAACAGATATCGGCAAACATTAAATGCGACAATGGCTATATCAAAATAGCAGAAAATAGTGTAACAAAGAATACCAATAGAAAATGAAACTTATAACAAGTAGACTTACAAAAATAAAATCTAAGGCTATATCTACACTGCCATATTATCCACATTATCTGCTTTGAACTGGACTAAATAAATCTACACTGCCATATTATCTACTTCAAAGCAGGTAATCTGGATTTTGTTTGGCAGTCCAGAAGGGTCTTAAGGCCCCATTTACACTGACATATAATCCGGGCAGTGTAGAAGGGGCCTCATATAATCCAGCTAAAAGCAAATAATGTGGATTATCTGCTTGGATTATATGACAAACAGATAATGATTTTTAAACAAAATTTCTCACAATTTTTTTCATTTACAGAGCAGGCTATTTGCACTGTTTATGTATTAATGCATCTGGAGAATAAGTACATCGAACTTATACCAAGAATCAAGTATGCTTTTTATTAGTGAAGAAATATCAATGAAATCAAACCCATCCTGTACATCTGCATTTGATGTATATATTTTGTAATCTTTTTTTCCCTAGAATATAATTGGTGTGGTGATTGGAAAAACAGATGCCAAAGGCTTTCCAGACCGAAAAAGTAAGTTTTTAAAAAGTGATTAAGATCTGTCTCTCGGGTTCTATCCTGGTCAGCGATTTCTCTGAATGAGAAATGTGTGTATTGTATATTTTAACAGATCTGGTGACCTCTACTGGTTACACACAGGATTTCTCAAAGGTCCAACTGTGTGAAACTAGCCTTCTGATCACCATTTCCCTTAACTTCTTGACTGCTTGCTGGCATCACATGCTTGGCTTCCATGTTTGCTATGACATATGGATGTAAGAAACATGATGCTCGATAAGCAAGGGCAGATGACAATCTTTCAGGCTCAAGTTTGAATGAAGAGCACTGTTTGTACCATGATTTAAAACGGATAATAGCAGGTAGAAACTGGATTGTAAGAGGCCCCTTCTACACTGCCACATAAAATCCAGAGTATCTGCTTTTCACTGGATTATATGGTTGCATAGACTCATATTATAATGTGGATTATCTGTTTTGATAATCTAGATTATCTGGCAGTATAGATCCAGCTTTATATAATCCAGTGAAAAGCAGATAATCTGGAATCAGATCCTGGGATTACAGGGCAGTGTAGATCCAGCCTGAGTCTCCTTCTACACTGCCATAAAATCCAGATTATCAAAGCAGATAGTCCACATTATCTGCTTTGACCTGGATTGTATGAGTCTACACTGCCATATAATCCGGTTCAGTCAGATAATCTGGATTTTATATGGCAGTGGCCTCCAGCTGTTCATTGGCTTGTCATGAATGCTTCTTGTTTCTCCAGATATTGGATCAGAAAGATACATTTTCAATTTCACTGTTCGCGATTCGCCATCATACTTCATCAATGTGAATTCCTGGGGAAGGGAGGACTATATTAAGTCGCTTTCCGATAGCTTTAGAGTCGGCGATTGCGGTAAGATGAAATCTATTCAACATATTTCAGTTGCAATATATTCCTCCCGCCTTTGAAATAAATGCAATGTACTTGTGATATAAGTGCACTTTCCTTCAAGGATATTTAATTGGAACCAAAATGTTCTGTTAAACTGAGTGAAATGGGAAGAAGTAAACTTTAGAAAACCGTGCAATAAAGCTGTCATCAAGAGGCAAAAGGCTAAAAAAGCAATTCCAGTTTTCTTGGAACATTAACATGCATTATGTTTCATTGTTCCTCAAATGGCTCATAAATAAATTCAATGATAGATATCATTAAAGGGACAAGTCAGCCAGAGTTATGAGTACAATTCTAAATACCTGTAGGGCTGTGGTGGCACAATTGATTAAACCGTTGAACTGTTGAATCTGCTGACCTAAAGGTTGTCAGTTTGAAGCTGTGGGTCGGGATGAGCTCCCACTGTTAGCCCTAGCTCCTGCCAGCCTAGCAGTTCAAAAACATGCAAAAGTGAGATCAATAGGTACTGCTTTAACAGGAAGGTAATAAAAGCACCCATGCAACACAATCAGGAGGTGTCTACGGATAACAGGCTCCTTGGTATGGAAATGGACTAAGAGCACCTCCCCATGGCCAGAGTTGAGCACCACTTCTAGAAAGCCGGAGATGAAAGGGGAAGCCTTTACCTTTGTTCTGTGTATTTGTATGTAATTTTTATTCCACTGTATTAAAGGCACTGAATGTTTGCCTATCTGTGTATGTTATGATCCACTCTGAGTCCCCTCAGGGAGATAAAACGGAATATAAATAAAGTGTTGTTGTTGTTATAACTTAGGAATATCCACCGAAAACAGCAAGATTTATATATGAATAAACTATAAGATTGCAATGGACATTCTTGTCATTTCAGTGAGAAAGTTATGCACAGTCTTCATTATGTTATCTGTATTTATTGAAATTAATGGGCCTGAATGTGCTATGCATGTACATTTATACTTTAAAATCAGAATTTATGTGGCTTTCTTCCTTTTTTCCTCCCATTATAGTCATAATTGAAAACCCTTTGGTACAAACAAAAGAAGTGGAAAGGGAGGAAAAATTCAGCCCGACAACTCCTAGGTATGAATTACTTTAAGGGTCAGGTGATTTCGTCAAAAAGCCAAGATATACGGAACTACCCGTTTTCTGACGCTTGGAGAAGYTAAGGTCTGGAAATCATGATGTAGGAGTGCAGTTCCCAGCATGCCTTACATATGAAATGACCAAGAATAATAGYAACTGCAGTCCAGAAATACTTATTCCCACCTGAAGTGCAAGTTAATTATTTTTTCAGGAACATGGTACTTCATTCAAATACCTGGTAACAATTTTACTCACCAGTGGACAAACCTGAGTTTGCTTATTCACGTTATCTTCTTTGAACTGCATTATCTGAGGCCCCCTTCTACATAGCCATATAAAATCCAGATTATCTGCTTTAAACTCAGTTATGTGGCAGTGTAGACTCATATAATCCTGTTTAAAGCAGATAATCTGGATTTTATATGGCAGTGTAGAAGGATCTCCTCCAATGATCTCAAGACATGGGCAGGCTTCTATAGGGAGACAGATAGGATCCTTCAGCTGAACCAGCATGGTACAGTGGTTTGGGAGGAGGGCTTAGATTTAAAAGGTTTGAATCCACACTCAGCCATTGAATCCCATTGGATGGCCCTGGCAAAGCCATACATTCTCAGCCTTAGGCAACGGAAAACCCTTTCTGTACAAATCTTGCTAGGAAAACCTCGTAAGAGGCTGGTTGTAAATTGAAAATGAGTTGAAGGCTACAAAGGTCTTAAAGATTTGCACTGAAGAAGGGCTTTTTACAGAATAATAGTTCAAATTACAGGAAAGGAGATTCTAACTGAACCTTAAGAAGAACTTCCTGACCATGAGAACTGTTCAGCAGTCTCCTTCTTTAGAGACTTTTAAACAAAGGCTGTATGGACATCTGTTGGGGGTGCTTTGATTTTGCTTTTCCTGCCTGGCAGAATAGGATTAGACCAGATGGCTCACAGGTCTCTGCCAATCATTATTCTATGATTCTAAGTATGACATCCGTTTGACAATAATTCAGAGTATTGGGTTGCTGTGAGTTTTCTGGGCTCTACATAAAGAGCAACACTCAAAAAACAGGGGCATTCCAGACAAGAAATAATCAGGGCCAGCTAACACCTCCCAACAAAGTATTCCTCTAGGCAGGAAGCAGCTAACCTTTGAAGCTGCAAGGCCATTTAATTCTAATCTAAGTGACTAGTTGCAACATTCACACTTGCCTCCAACAGACAAGAGTTCTTTCTCCCACCCTGGACATTTCGCAGATAAATAAACCCCACTTGCCTAGTTTCCAACAGATCCAACAACCTCTGAGGATGCCTGCCATAGATGTGGGCGAAATGTCAGGAGAGAATGCCTCTGGAAAATGAGCACATAGCCCAGAAAACTCACAGCAACCCAGTGATTCCGGCCATGAAAGCCTTCGACAACACATTCAGAGCATTCTTCATATATGAGCATGCTTTCTTTACTGGTAAATTTGTTTATGTCCGCAAAGCAACTACAAGCTTCTGCTGAGTGAAAACCATTCATCTGTGAGGATCTGTTTCCCGGGTGAAGTGGACCCCCAACTGCTCTCCCTGTTGAACATTCCTGTGAAGGACCCCCAAGACTTCTACTCACTGGGGGATATTGTGGCCAATGGACAGAACCTGGATGGGAGGATTATTAATGTTCTTGCTGCTATTAAATCAGTAAGTCAGAAAAGTAATACAAATTAGAGTCTGGGGAGTATCATTGATATCTGCACAGATAAGGATTTATTGGGTCATGGTCGATGGGAGTGTCCTGGTCAGCAGTCACTTGGCTTGATGTAGACTGGAGGGAAGTATGTTAGTTTATTGGTTATTGTTTATATGTGATTTATATTAATTGTATTGTATTTATTGTTTTTGTTTATTCATTTTGTTTATTGATGTACTGTCGAGCTTGGCCTCATGTAAGCCGCTCCGAGTCCCTTGAGGAGATGGTGGTGGGGTATAAATAAAGTTTTTTTTTATTACTTATTATTATTATAAGTTAACAAGCAACATTGATGAACAGTTTCAAAAATCAAGTCAACAAAGACTTCCTGTATCTAGAATGGCACTTGGATATTGCACATTGTAAAGAAGTTGACTGTATTTCATCATATAATAGTCACCATTGCATTACAGTCACACTCCCATTTTTGGGATGGCAAAATTGGTATATATTTGGGTCTGATTATTTATTTATTTATTTATTTACAGTATTTATATTCCGCTCTTCTCACCCTGCAGGAAACTCAGGGTGGATTACAATGCACATATACATGGCAAACATTCAGTGCCATTTAGACATACAATATATATAGACAGACACAGAGGCAGTTTAACATTCCAGCTTTTTCTGGCTTCATGAGTCCACAGGGGGAGCTGCCTTTTCACCGTCCACTTCTGACAAAGCGTCCTTTGATGGAGTACTTCCTCGTTCTTCTGCATGCTGCTGGAAGGTTTTATGACATCGTAAATTAGTTAAATTAGCCTCTCTGCTTAAAGCGGTACCCAAATATCCTACTTGACAGATGCAACTGTCTTTCGGGCTGCATAGGTCAACAGCAAGCTAGACTATTAATGGTCAGGAGTTTACTTTGACCCGAGCTGGCTTCTAACTCATGACCTCTCGGTCAGTAGTGATTTAATGCAGCTGGGCCACAACCCAGTTTTCCCTTCTTTCCTTCCTTTTTCCTAGGTCTTAAGGCAGTTTAAAAACTATGAAAAGATCTTCCATCTTTCCTTCAAGAGTACAGTTTCAGATTTTGTAAACTGCCTTGCTTTCAGAGAAACAAGGAAGGGAGGGAAGGAGAATCTTCTTTCCTCCTTTTTCCAAGGCATATTAAAACAAAACAGAAATAGAGCTATTTATTTGAGGCTGGATCCTCCCACCTCCTCTTCCTCCTGTCTCATCCGTAAGGCAGTTTTGTTTTTTTTTAACAAAAACCCAGAAATTGGAGAACCAAAGGCAGATTTTTTTCCTCTACATAAGGGTTGCCCTCATTTTTCAAGTAAAAAGGGGGCATTTATTCTTATGCAATGAAATGCAATAACATCTACAGTGATCAAGTCTTAAATTAAACATTAACAATGAATTGGCTTCTTGAAGTCATACTCAACATCTGACTAAACTCTATCTTTGTCCTTTTATTACACAATCTGTTCTTTTGATGGGTGTTGTATTGTTTTAGTGTGAGTACACACTGAACAGTAGAGAGACACAAAGAATGGAACAATAGTACTATTTGATAATCTATGTACAAATACAAGATTGCAAGCCCCATACAGGGAGAGATCCACTCCCACGTTGCGGCAGCTTCACTGGCTGCCAGTCTGCTTCCGGGCTAAATATAACGTCCTGGTCATTACCTTTAAAAGCCTAAACAGCACGAGTCCAGGCTATTTGACTAATCACTTCTCCTCCTCCTCACTACTGACTGAGAGGTCATGAGTTCGAAGCCAGCCTGGGTCAGAGTGAGCTCCCGAACATTAATAGTCTAGCTTGCTGTTGACCTATGCAGCCGGAAAGACAGTTGTATCAGTCAAGTAGGAAATTTAGGTACCACTTTATGTGGGGAGGCTAATTTAACTAATTTACAACACCATAAGGGAGCCCCCCGGTGGCGCAGTAGGTTAAACCGCTGAGCTTGTTGACCAAAAGGTTGCAGGTTCAAATCCGGGGAGCAGTGTGAGCTTTCACTGTCAGCCCCAGCTTCTGTCAACTGAGAGTTCAAAAACATGGAAATGTGAATAGATCAATAGGTACCGCCTTGATGGGAAGGTAACCGCACTCCATGCAGTCATGCTGGCCACATGACCTTGGAGGCGTGCCACCCCTCAGAGTTGGACACAACTAGGCTTAATGTCTGGGGAGACCTTTACCTTTACTTACAGATCATGTTAGCTCAGTTAAAATCACTGGTCACATAATCAACTCACATATCTTAATGAACTTTCATTGGCTTCTGTAAATTAATGTGGATGTGTTGTTTAAGTTTTATGTTAGATATAATTTTGATAGGTTACATTTTATTTCATTTATAGATGTCATGTTACAAATAGTTTTCATATGTGGGGTTATTTTGGGCTATTATGTTTGTATTTGTTGTTGTACCAAGGCATTGGATGTTTGCCTTTTTTGTTTGTTGGAATCCACCCTGAGTTCCCTTGGGAAGATAGGGCGGAATATATATAAAGTTTATTATTATTAATAATAATAATAACAACAATACTTTGGAGACCCCGGTGGCACAGCGGGATAAATAGCTGAGCTGCTGAACTTGCTGACCGAAAGATCAGCAATTCGATTCTAGGGAGCAGGGTGAGCTCCGGCTGTTAGCCCCAGCTTCTGCCAATCTAGCAGTTCAAAAACATGCATAATGTGAGTAGATCAATAGATACCACTGTGGCGGAAAGGTAATGGTGCTCCATGCAGTCATGCTGGCCACATAACCTTGGAGGTGTCTACGGACAACACCAGCTCTCTGGCTTAGAAATGGAGATGAACACCACCCCCCCAGAGTCAGACACAACTAGACTTGATGTCAAGGGGAAACTTTTACCATTCTTCTTCTTCTTKTTKTTCTTCTTCTTCTTCTTATTATTATTATTATTATTATTGTTATTATTATTGAGACCAAATCCAGATATTGTTGTCAATTCCCCCCCCCCCCCACCCTTTGCAAAGGTTGGTGTGCCAAAATGCTTCACCACCTCGGACAGAAGGAAAGGCCAGCGATGTGAAGTAAGGCTGTATGATGAAACAGAGTCTTCCTTTGCAATGGTATGGTAAGTTGTTTCCTGAGGACAGGGCCTGGTAAAACAAAGCAATAGACACTGTGATCCTATTGCATTTTTTCTTTTTACCTTAAAAGACCTTCAGTACAAAAAGAAAACACGAATGCAGAATATTTGGTGGAGAAAACTGAAAAGGTTACAAGTAGAACTAATCTCCCCTCGTATTTTTGCACAATTCCATGTGTTTGCAATTGCATGACAAAGACTTGATTGGAAGCACAGTTTAATTATTACACTCCAGAATAGGGGAAAAAACAGACACTGAACCAAAGTGCAAGCTCCTACCATTAACTGAAGACTTTTTTATTGTGACAATACTTCAGTGTTAATTAAATGGCACCAATAACCATTAACCTCTATTACACATAAGCCTGGCCTTGAATATATTACCTGTTTCTGTGAGTTATTGACAGATTTTTCCCTCTGGAGAGACAGAGCGAAGCAGCTGCAAATCAATTATGAAAGGTCATTGTGGAGAGGAGCAAACGAAAGAAGCCATTTCATTAGGAAAGCCCTTGATGGTCTTACCTATAGCCAAGATTGGCATGAATGCTGCCGTCAAGACTTTTATAAGTAAACAGATATTAAGTGGAACATTAATGAGCAAAACCAGAAAGTATCCTGTTTTCCACAGGGATCTTCAGGGGCGAAAATAAGGCCAAGTATTTATTTATCGTGTCAGTTAAATGAATTGAGGGTGCAGTTATATATTTAAAAACACAAACAAAGTTAAAGATTTGGCATTATACTAGATGTCCTTTGACCAGAAGCTGACCACTTGGAGTGCCTTTGGTGTTGCTGTGAGAAAGTCTTCATTGTGCATGTGGCAGGGCTCAGACTGTCTTGTAGTAAGTGGTCTGTGGTTTGCTCTTCTACACACTTGTATGTCATGGATTCTACTTTGTGGCCCTATTTCATAATATTGGCTCTGCATCTCATGGTGCCAGAGCTCAGCCTGTTCAGCGCCTTCCAAGTCGCCCAGTAGGCTCAGGAGGGAGTCTCTCATCCAGTATCAGCCATGGATTGAGGTTCCGTGATTTAATCTGCCACTTTTGGACTCTCGCTTGCTGAGGTGTTTCTGCAAGTATCTCTGTAGATCTTAAAAAGCTATTTATTTATTCAAGTCGTTGGCATGCTGGCTAATATCTGAACAGAAAATGGGCCGGAGATGTCAATGCCTTGGTCCTTTCATTACAGGCTGCTACTTCCCGATGGATATCAGGTGGTGCAATACCAGATAAACAGTATAATTTCTCCAATGGTGTGGGGCGTAGACATCCTGTGATAATGCGGCATGTCTCATTAAAAACCACATCCACAGTTTTAGCATGGTGAAATGTGTTCCATGCTGGGCATGCGTATTCAGCAGCACAGTAACAAAGCACAAGGGCAGATGTGTTCACTTTGTCTGGCTGTGATCCCCAGGTTGTGCCAGTCAGCTTTCGTATGATATTGTTTCTAGCACCCACTTGTTGCTTGATAGTCAAGCAGCACTTCTTGTAATTCAGAGCATGGTTCAAGGTAACTCCCAGGTATTTGGGTGCGCTGCAATGCTCCAGTAGGATTCCTTCACATGTAATCCTCAGAACCCGAGATGCTTAACTGTTCTTAACGTGAAAAGCACACATCTGTGTTTTAGATGGATTAGGAATCAGCTGGTTTTCCCTGTAATAGGCAGTAAGAGCACCTAAAGCTTCTGAGAGCTTCTGTTCAAAGCTCCCTGCTTGAGTGGTGATGGCACAATTGTCAGCATCGATGAAACTCTCTGTTCCTTCTGGCAAGTAAAGCATTGAGACAACAGCCCTCTTTCATTGTGTATCTCCCCCCCCCCCAAGGAAAAAAAAACAATGGCATATTGATCAGTGTTTAGTAGCATACTGTCTGTGAACATGGAGGTCCAGTTCGGTTGTTATAGTCCTTTGCAGTATCTCCTCCAACATTTCAGAAGAAAAATGAACACTTATAGCCAAGCAGCTGCATATCGAGATGGCAAAACTTATCATTAAAGAAAGGCACACGCATTAGGAGGGGCTGCAGAAGTTTGCTTTTGCCTGAATCAACTGGAAAGAGCAAGACTCCCTTCCTTCCCTTGCTAAATTGACTAAGCTTGAGCTTAAGCGGCTGAGGGGGAAAAGGAAAGGGCCTGAGACTGTTAAGAATTGTGGGAGTTGAAGTCCGAAACACCTGGAGGGAGAGCCCAAGTTTGCTCATGCCTGATTTAAACTATATAATTGGGTCTATATTGTGAATGTATATGATTAGAAACCTTCTGTGGGTGGTTAGACCTACAAATCAACCCATAAATAATGGTATATTGGATCTTCCCTCTCTGTGCAGAAGATGTTCACTCCTGGTCTGCCTCCAGACATCCTGGTGAATTTCTACATCTACTTGAACAAACTCTGCTTGACAGTTGAAGTCCAAAACGCCTGGAGGGCCAAAGTTTGCCCATGCTTGGTTCATATAGTATTCTCTTTTCTGTGTTATGCAGTTGTGTGTTTACCTTGTTTAGAAACATTTATGATTTTTCAAGAGTATCAAAGTTTTATCGTTACACAGAAATAAAATGCATACCGTATCTTGTAATCTAATTAAGGTTTTCGTTCTCTCTTTCTCGCTCTCCAGCTGGGACAATGAATCTATCCAACTTGCACAGAGCTGGATGCCTCGAGAAACAGGTAGATCATTTCCACTTCCTTCCCAAATATTTTGAGCTGAGATTATCACTACAAGCTAAAGCTTTGGCAAATATAACACAACAATTGTATCCTCCTTACAGTTATCTTTGCAGCAGATGTAAGAATAAACTTTGACAAATTCAGAAATTGCATGGTTGCCACTATCATTTCAAAAACCATCATCACTGCAAATCCTGGTAAGGAACTGTGGTAAAACCTTGTCTAAACTGTATAAAATCCCATTGACTTGAGTGCTGAAGCAATAAGGCAGCTTTGTAGATGACAATTAGCAAGTATAGCTTGCTGAATGAATCCTTTTTGAAAAAGAGATGATCAAATATTTTGGCCTTGTACACACTTCTCTTTATTAATAACACTTTGATTTTCATTTTCATTTTTTGGTAAGATACCCCAGAAGCAAATAATCTTCTCAACTTTATACGAGAAAGTGCAGAAATGTTAGATCTGGATGATGACATCAGAGAGCAATTCAGAGAATCTGTAAATTGTGAGTCTGATTTGTTAAACTGCTATATGGAGGCCTTGATTCGGGTCTTCCATACACACCCCGTATGTACTTGAGTATAAGCTGAGTTTTTCAGCCCCCCTTTTAGGCTGAAAAGGCCCCTATCGGCTTATACTCGAGTCAGAGTTATTTATTATTTTACTCTATTATTATTTTATTACATGTATTATTTTACTCTATTATTGATATTACATTTACATTATTTTACTCTATTATTATGACATTTATTATTGTACTCTATTTAATATTATTATTACATTTATTATTTACTCAATTGTTATTATTACGTTTATTATTGTACTCTATTATTACTATTATTATTATTATTATGACATTTATTATTTTACTGTCTTTATAATTATTGGAAAGATACATAAACACATTTTCATTGAAGAAGGTTAGAATAATGGTTTAATCAGAGTTGGACAGTCTTATCTTAAATTAGTTTTATGTAAATATTCAAAAACATTTAATCTACTGATGCCTCAATTAATGTAATTATGTTGGTATATCTTTTTATTTTGAAATTTACCAGTAGCTGCTGCATTTCTCACCCTTGGCTTATACTGAAGTCAATACGTATTCCCAGTTTGTTGTGGTAAAATTAGGTACCTTGGCTTATATTTGGGTAGGCTTATACTCGAGGATATACCGTATTTATTATTATTATTATTATTATTATTATTATTATTATTATTATTATTATTATGTTTATTTAAATTCTGCCTTTTCCTCAAAATTGGCACTCAAGTACATAAGTCATACATAACTTAATATTTCCAATGCTAAAATGCAACTTTTGGGTAAATCAGTTCGGTCTTGATACATTAAAATATAATAATTTCACTCCTTTTGTGATGAATTTAACTTATGTTAAAAATCCACCCAAATAACTAGGAATCACTCAGTATCTTTAGAATTTGGACTACATTTCAGATAACCCTAATTCTCCCATATACTCCTCTTTAGTGCAGACAATAGCTGATGTTTATACAGTGGAACAGTTAAAATCTGAAGTTGTGCAGAAAGTCGGAAAGCCTGAACCTTTCTATGGCATCATTTTTGCCTACATTTCGACACTGAATATTGATACCGAAACACCAAAGGTCATACGCAACAGATGGTAAGCAGCACATTAAACATCACCTTGACTTTTTATTTTCTTCATTGTCCCAAACCATCTAAGAATTGAGTTTTCTAGGCTGTCTGGCTATGTTCCAGAAGTATTTTGTTCTGACATTTCACCCACATCTGTGGCAGACATCCTCAGAGTTTGTGAGGTCTGTTGGAAATTAGGCAAGTACAGTTTATCTATTTGTGGAATAATATCCAGGGTGGGAGAAAGAATTCCTGTCTGTTTGAGACAAGTGTGAATGTGTACAACCAGATATAATTATGCTAGGCAATGGTTATTAGACTCAATAACCTGTTATCTTTGTTCTGTTAGGAAAACAGTGCATAAAAACAGCAGTGCTTCAGAAGTGTTTTTCAGTGCCCAGAAATATATAAACTCTCTCGTAAAACAACTTGTTTTATATCATGCACTCAAGAGACAAAAATGAAGTAGACTTTGATAAAAATAACATATTTGGTTTACTCACAACCTTCATGTGTTCAGCACCGGGATTGTGGCGCAGCTGGCTGAGTGTCAGCTGCATTATAAGATCACTCTGACCAAAAGGTCATAAGTTCGAAGCCAGCCCTGGTTGGAGTGGGCTTCCAACCAATTGTGTAGCCTGTTGTCGACCTTTGCAACCCGAAAGACAGTTGCATCTGTCAAGTAGGAAAATTAGGTACCACCTTGTGTGGGGAGGCTAAATTAACTAATTTATGAGGCCATAAAAAGACGCCAGCATGCGGGGAATGCGGAAGTACTTCATCAGTGTCGCAGACGGACGATGAAAGCGACAGCTCCCCTGGCGGCCAGAAAAAGTTAAATAGCCTCTGTTTACGTTGTATGTCAAAGTGGCATTGAATGTTTGCCATATAGGTGTACACTGTAATCCGCCCTGAGTCTCCTGCGGGATGAGAAGGGCGGAATATAAATACTGTAAATAAATAAATAAATACCTCCCTGACAATTTCCATTGCCCTATCTCCCAGTGTATTAAAATTTTTATCTTTGAATTTGGCCCTGCCCAGTATAATTCCTTTGTATTTTAATGTTTGATTTTATATTGCTGTGTCGTGCATTATATTGGTTCTGCATTCTATGTATTTTATTTTCTGGTTTTATTATGCTTTTGTGTAATATTGTGTTTATTGTATTGACGGGCATGGTCTCATGTAAGCTGCCCCGAGTCCGCCTGGGGGAGATAGAGCGGGGTATAAATAAAGTATTATTATTATTACTAGCCGTCCCCTGCCACGCGTTGCTGTGGCCTAGTCTGGTAATCTGGAAAATAAAGTAATGAGAAAGTGTTGGTTCCTTATATATGTAATTTCTTTATGCTTGTGGGTAAACAGTATTTTTTGTTGTTTCTTTGTCAGTGTTGATGTGGAGAGTGTCTGGTTAGCCTACTCTGGAATATGCAATGTATCATTGTCCTTCTTTAGGGGTCCCTTTCAAATCTATGATACTGTATCTGTGTGTGTGTGAATCATAGCTCTCTCTCTCTCTCTCTCTCTCTATCTATCTATCTATCTATCTATCTATCTATGGCTGCATGGTTCTTTGTCAGGAAGACTTTGATTACATTTTCTTGCCCTGATGAAGGGAGTTGGACTGGATGGCCTTAAGTATTTTATGTTGATCATGGGGGTTCCGTGTGGAAAGTTTGTCCCGATTCTGTTGTTCGTGGGCTTCAGAATGCTCTTTGATTGTAGGTGAACTGTGAATCCCAGTGACTACAACTCCCAAATGTCAAGGTCTATTTCCCCCAAACTCCATCTGTGTTCATATTTGGGCGTATTGAGTGCTTGTGCCAAGTTGGTCCAGATCCATCATTGTTTGAGTCCACAGTGCTCTTTGGATGTAGGTGAACTACAACTCCCAAACTCAAGGTCAATGCCCAGCAAACCCTTCCAGTATGTTCTGTTGGTCATGGGAGTTCTGTGTGTGGTGGAGACTCCCTCTTTGGAAGCTTTTAAACAGAGGCTGGATGGCCATCTGTAGGGGGTGCTTTGAATGTGATTTTCCTGCTTCTAGGCAGGGGGTTGGACTGGATGGCCCATGAGGTCTCCTCCAACTCTATGATTCTATGATTCAATTCCATCTTTGATGGAGTTCAGAATGCTCTTTGATTGTAGGTGAACTATAAATCCCAGCAACTACAACTCCCAAGTGACAAAATCATAATTTTTTGAGTGATGGTCACTCCTTGTGTTGTGAGACGTTTTGTTGCCCAATTTGGTGTAATTTCATTCATTGGTTCTTTTGTTTTTAAGGTACTAATTACACACATATTACACACAAGGTACTCATTACACACACTTATTATTATTACTATTATTATTATTATTATTATCAGTCCAGTTTCCAATATGTTTGAGATGGTTCCCTGTGCCAGCTAGCCAAGGCATCTCTCTTATAACAAAACAGCTATCACATAATCAAAAGGAAAGAGAGAATGTGATGTGCAGCCTTTTTCAAACTTCTCAGAAACCATAGAGTAAAGGAAGCTGCATATCGGATCATACATATAGGAAACAGTAATCAGCAGGATGATGGATAAATATTACTAGAGAAGGCTTGAAGAAGGTTGTCATTTCCAACAATATGGCACACAGGAACTTGAATCCTAGTCTTCCAGGGCCAGCACCCAAATTGTTTTCAAAACTGGCCCATTCAGCAATAGTATGGATCAGTTTATTTAACTGTGCTATTTATTCCCTTCCTTCAGTGTCAAGTGCCGCTTTGTGGTCAACGAAAACACAAACGCGTGTTCTTTCTGCCCCGATTTTGGTGCCTCTTCTGATGCCATCTCAGTCTTCCCCAGCTTTGATCTCTTTGTCGATCTGACTGATCACACAGGCACCCTCCATTCTTGCAGTCTCTCCGACACAGTGGCCGAAGAGACTCTGGGTTATACGGTGAGACACCTTACCAGGAAAAAGCTTCCCTCAATTCCTCTTTTTTTTTCTTTGATGCAGAAAAAATGTGATGGGGGTCTTTTGATTGCCATGTTTATTTAGGATCCTTTCAGCTTAAAGGGTTTTATACACAGCAATAAATAATGCTTGTAACTCTGACAGCCAACCTCACATTTGATGAAGTGCACTGTGGATCACCAAAAGTAATTTCTTAAGGCGCAGTAATTTCTTAATTTATTTGAGTTATTTACTTAAGTAATTTCTTAAGCTGTTGCTAGTTTTTGCCTATAGAGATATAAAATTATTTTCCAAAATGAGCATTTTGTGGAAGCCAATATGTTAATATTGAAGCAAATCATTTTTAAAATTCCAAAATGATCACTTGGATAGCTCTTTAATCAAAAATGGATTCTTCCATTGACCGTGCAATTGAAACAAATCCCAGCACTCTTTTTTCCCCATTGCAAGGAATTATGAAAAGCTAAGATGGATGCTTGAATTATCATCTGGTCTGGAAAAAGTTTGGCATTTGGGTCCTTGTACTGGATTATTGGGGCCCCTGGTGGCACAGCGGGTTAAACCTCTGAGCTGCTGAACTTGCTGACTGAAAGGTCAGCGATTCGAATCCAGGGAGCAGGATGAGCTCCCACTGTTAGCCCCGGCTTCTGCCAACCAAGCAGTTCGAAAACATGCAAATGTGACATTAATAGGTACCGCTCTGGCAGGAAGATAATGGCGGTCCATGCAGTCATGCCGGCCACATGACCCAGGAGGCATCTACGGACAACGACAGCTCTTCAGCTTAGAATGGAGATGAGCACCAACCCCCAGAGTCAGACTCAATTACACTTAATGTCAAGGGGAAACCTTTACCTTTATCTTACTGGATTACTGAAAAACATACCTTCTTCTGGATTATATGTATTTTATACTAGCTAAACTATGGCTATTCCATTAGGTCCAGGAGTTCCAGGCTTTGACCGAGGCTCAAAGGACTGCCTTGAAGTGGCACTTTCTGTTGGAACGAAGCAAAATTTACTTTAAAGTATGTAATAGAACAATACTTAATTAAATATGTACCTGAGAAAGCAGCGGTCCTTTTGACACTTGCTCCAATCTCATCTTATTGTGTAGGAGCCCCTTGTGGCACAATGGGTTAAGCCCTTGTGCCGGCAGGATTGCTGACCGAAAGGTTGGTGGTTCGAATTCGGGGAGCGGGGTGAGTTCCCATCTCTCAGCTCCAGCTTCCCATGTGGAGACATGAGAGAAACCTCCCATAGTATAGTAAAACATCTGGGCGTCCCCCAGGCAACGTCCTTGCAGACGGCCAATTAATATGGGGAGCAGGGTGAGCGCCTGTCTATCAGCTCCAGCTTCTTATGCAGGGACACGAGAGAAGCCTCTCATAGGATAGTAAAACAACCGAGCGTCCCCTGGGCAACGTCCTTGCAGACAGCCAATTCTCTCACACCAGAAGCGACTTGCAGTTTCTCAAGTCGCTCCTGACACACACACAAAAAAATTGTGAAATCCACAGTCTTTGCAACGTTATTTTGTTTTATATCTATTTAAAAGAGAAAGAAATTTACAATTATTTATTTCTTTTTACAGCAATTAATTTGAAATTTCCTCCACAGATTATTCCTTCTGCAAGTTCGCGAACTGGACTGAGAGTGAACCTCCTCTCTTGCAAGCTGGCTGATCCTGTGGAAGCCAGTCAACACCTGTCAGTGAAAGAAAAATAACTATGCTCCCTTCATAACAGTTGGAAATAATTTTTTTTCAGATTCTGTTGTAATTTGGTGGAATCATTATTTCTTCATGTTGCATCCTTGTTGCAAAGTTGCTTTATTACAACTTGTTTAAGTTCATTACATTGCTGAAGAAACAGTCTCCAAGATGATTCCAAGTATTGTTGAATTACTCTTTGAAACAATGATCTAAATGTGATCTAAATTTGTTAAAATTTGAGGAAAATATTAAGAGGATATTTTCAATTGGGAGCAAGCATTTGGCCCAGCATAATTATCTGTGCAATACATTTGGAATTGTCCCTGGATTGATGAATATGATTGATTGTTTGGCTTTGGATCTATGCACAATAGTTATCTAATGTTAACATATGTTGTTTAATGTTGTTTTAAATTGTTGTTTCATTGCTTTTAATTGTTGTTATTGTTGTTTGGGCATAGAGTAATAATTTATATAAGCTGCCCTGAGTCCCCTTCAGGGTGAGAAGGGCGGGATATAAATGTTGCAAATAAATAAGTAAATAAACTTTAACAAAATTGTTCTATTAAAGCAAAGATATTTATTCACCATTTTAGTATTCAGTTACATCAGACTTTGTGACAAATTATTTCATATCAAAAATATTTAATAGAACATTCTGTGTTGTTTTTGCAGGCACTTTGCTGTGTTTTTCAGGGGGGGGAGTCACTGTCATACTTTTGGTTTGTTTTGACTTAAACAGAAGTAAATGGAGTTCAATCCTAACATCTCCATGAAACTATGGACAACTCTACCCATTGATCCATTAGATGGTTGAATATCTCTATGAAACCCATGGACAACCCTACCCACTGATCCATTATATGGTTGAATATCTCCATGAAACCCATGAACAACCCTACCCATTGATCCATTAGGTGGCTGAATATCTCCATGAAACCCATGGACAACCCTACCCATCGATCCATTAGGTGGTTGAATATCTGCATTAAAACCATGAACAACCCTACTCATTGATCCATTAGGTGGTTAAATATCTCCATGAAACCAATGTATAACCCTACCTATTGACTCATTGGATAGTTGAATACCTCCCACGGACAGCCTTATCCATTGAATTTGCATGGACAACCCTACCCATTGGGGTATTGGATGGCCAAGGGCCTAATTAGCCACTGCCATAATCTCACCTGGGATCCCCTGGACCTGAAATGACAAGATCCTAGTGGACTGGTCTGAGAAGAAGCTCAGCTTTCATTTCCTTGCATGACTCAGGAAAAAGACGATGCTGGTGTCCCCCTATACAAGGCATGGGCAAACTTTGGCCTTCCAGGTGTTATGGACTTCAACTCTCACATTTCTACCGGCTGTTAGGAATTGTGGGAGTTGAAGTCCAAAACATCTGGAGGGCCAAAGTTTGCCCATGCCTGCCCTATAATTCAGTGAGCAAAACTCTCTTTGGGTCCTGGACCATTCTTTCAGGGCCGGCTTCTTTGCTGGGCAACTCGAAACCTCATGGTGAGCAGCCCTTCGATCCCGGCTTCTATCTCGTCATTCTCCTCGACAGCCGAAACCCCTTTGGGTGACCCCGTTAGTATGACATCCCCTTCTTCCAGAGGAACGATCCCACTGATGTAGCTGATGATATACGGGATGGAGAAGATCATGCTGGACGTCTCTCCTTCTTGCCGCAACTCCCCGTTGACCTTCAGCCAGAGCTTCAACCGGTGCGGATCGGGAACCTTTTCTTTGGGGAGGAAGTCGCTGACCGGGCAGGAGGTGTGGAAGCCTTTGGCCAAGGTCCAGGGGAGGCCCTTCTTCTTACACTCCTCCTGGGTGTCCCTGGCGGTCATGTCCAAGCACAGGGCATAGCCCCCCACGTGCTCCATGGCCGCCTCCGGGGACACCCCCTTGGCCCCCCTCCCCATCACCACCCCTAGTTCCACCTCGTGGTGCAGTTTGTGGCAATAGTAGGGCCGGACGATGGGGAAACCTTCCCGGACGTAAGCTGAGGAAGGCTTGAGGAAGAAGAGCGGCTCGGAGGGGACGGCGTTCTTCATCTCCTTGGCGTGATCGGTGTAATTCCGCCCCACACAGATGATGTTCTTTCCCCACTCCCAGAACCGGGACAAAGGCTTGGTGGAAGCCATGTTTCATACTGCCAAAAAGTAAAAGGAGGGAAATGAATTTTGATCCAAGCAGCAGGGGATACAGTTTCCTACATCAACCTGACAGCTTCCTTCCCTTCAAATAGAGGCCCATTTTACACTGTCCTTATATCCCAGGATTTGATCCCAAGTCACCTGTTTTGAACTGGATTATATGACTCTCCACTGCCATATAATCTGGGATAAGCAGATAATCTGGGATCAGATCCTGGGAGATAGGGCAGTGTAGAAGCCCTCCCTGTTGGCGCAACGGGTTAAATCGCTGAGCTGCTGAACTTATTGACCGAAAGGTCGGTGGAGCAAATCCGGGGAGCAGGGTGAGCTCCTGCTGGTTAGGCCCAGTTTCTGCCAACCTAGCAGTTCGAAAACATGCAAATGTGAGTAGATCAATAGGTACCACTTCTGTGGGAAGGTAACGCCGCTCCATGCAGTCATGCTGGCCACATAACCTTGGAGGTGTCTACGAACAACACTGGCTCTTCAGGTTAGAAATAGAGATGAGCACCACCCCACAGTAGGACACGACTATACTTAGTGTCAGAGGAAACCTTTACCTGTACTAGAAGGAGCCTGAGAGACAAATGGGTTCATCTGCACTATAGAATGAGCACAGTCAACAGAATCCTGGGAGTTGCAGTTTCAAAAATCCTTTATCCTTCTCTGTCAAAAAGTGCTGGTGTCTCTATCAAAAAGTGCTGACTACAGGGTTGGCCATAAGTCAGAAAGTTTTAATAACCTTTTGAAAACAGTTTTCAAAAATATTTTATACATAATGCAATTTTCTTTACGTCTCCTGTATTCAGTGCTATGGCCTTGTACATTAAAATCAAAAACTAAAGAAGTTATTACATATTGAAACCTCTTTGTAACTTTTGGCAGACCCTGTAGAATTTTCACGATTCCAGAGCATTGATCCACAGCAGTAAAAATGGTGTCAAACTGCATTCATTCTACAATGTAGATGAACCCAAAGAAAGAGGCCGGGCTTTAGCACAGCTGGTTAATCACCAGCAGCAATAGATCACACCCATTGAAAGGTTGGCAGTTCGAAGCCCGGGTCCATAGGGAAGGCTGAGCGAAGGAAGATATATGCTTTTGAACTGGTGCTGGAGGAAAGTTCTGAGAGTGCCTTGGACAGCGAGAAGATCCAACCAGTCCATCCTCCAGGAAATAAAGCCCGACTGCTCGTTGGAGGGAAGGATAGTTGAGGCAAAGATGAAGTACTTTGGCCACATCATGAGAAGACAGTAAAGCTTAGAGAAGACAATGATGCTGGGGAAAATGGAAGGGAAAAATGAAGAGGGGCTGACCAAGGGCAAGATGGATGGATGGATGGCATCCTTGAAGTGACTGGCTTGACCTTGAAGGAGCTGAGGGTGGCCACGGCTGACAGGGAGCTCTGGCATGGGCTGGTCCAGGAGGTCACGAAGAGTCAGAAGCAACTGAACGAATGAACAACAACAACTTTGCTTAAGTTGCATTGACCGACCCTCTGTGTAGGGTTCCATACTTCACACTTTAACAACGTGAAAGGCCAATAGTGAAAGGACCAAGGCAGTGACATCACCAGCTCATCCCTTGTTTGGGTATCAGCCAGCACGTCAACGACTTAAATCAATACAATACAATACAATACAATACAATAAGCCTTTATTGGCATAACATGGCAGAGAGTATAAAACATAGTACACGTAATAAAAAAGGGCTTCTCGTTTGCTACACATTCAGTTTGCAGACTTCATTCAGGAATCTTGCCACTGAAAGGCAGCAGCTAAAGTCCTGGCAATTTAAAATGACTTAAATCAAGAAACAGTTTTCTAAGATCTACAGAGACACTCGCTGGAACACCTCAGCAAGCGAGAGTCCAAAAGTGGCAGGCTCAAACCCAGAACCTCAACCAATGGCTGATACCAAATGAGAGACTCCCCCTGGGCACACAGAAAACTGGGCACTTGGAAGGCGCTGAACAGACTGCACTCTGGCACCACAAGATGCAGAGCCAACCTTAAGAAATGGGGCTACAAAGTGGAATCCACGACATGCAAGTGTGGAGAAGAGCAAACCACTGACCACCTGCTTCAATGCAACCTGAGCCCTGCTACAAGCACAATGGAGGACCTTCTTGCGGCAACACCAGAGGCACTCCAAGTGGCCAGATACTGGTCAAAGGACATTTAATCAACTACCAAGCTTGCAAATTCTGTGTTTTGTCTGTCTGTTTGTTTGTTTTGTTCTGTTAGAAATGTAATACAATGCTGCCCATAGAATCATAGAATCAAAGAGTTGGAAGAGACCTCATGGGCCATCCAGTCCAACCCCATTCTGCCAAGAAGCAGGAATATTGCATTCAAAGCACCCCTGACAGATGGCCATCCAGCCTCTGCTTAAAAGCCTCCAAAGAAGGAGCCTCCACCACACTCCCTCCGGGGCAGAGAGTTCCACTGCTGAACGGCTCTCACAGTCAGGAAGTTCTTCCTAATGTTCAGATGGAATCTCCTCTCTTGTAGTTTGAAGCCATTGTTCCGTCCTAGTCTCCAAGGAAGCAGAAAACAAGCTTGCTCCTCCTCTGTGGCTTCCTCTCACATATTTATACATGGCTATCATAGCCTTCTCTTCTTTTTTTGCAGGGCCCGTAGCCATGATTTTGTTTCGAGGGGGGGGGGGGGCTGAGTCTGAGTGAAAGAGGGTCTACCTTAGCAAACCTTTTGTATCATTACCCCAATACCCCCATGCATATGGGATATATTGAGTATGGTGATCAGATCATGATATGAATAAACATAACAGTTTAAATAATGCACCAGTAAGGCCTTTTCGTGAACCACCATGCCTGCTTCAGGCTAAACATGCCCCTGGCACAATAAATAAATAAATAAATAAATAAATAAATAAATAAATACTTTAACAACACAACCGTTCAACGCTAATGGAGCTGTGGAGCAAGCCAGTACCTGCTGCACACCAGTCCTGTCATCTGTTGAGTTAGGAAGGTGGAGGCATTCCTTTTCATTCCACCTTCGTACTAAGGCCTTGCTTTGCAGTGAGGCTCTGAAGGCAAGGAGAAAGAGGTCACCAAGAGAAGGCGGTCTTTGGCGCGCTCTCTCCTCTCCATTGCGCCCTTCCAAAGTCCGCCCTTCCTTTCCAAAAAAGATGGACACTCTCCCCTAAAATCTTTCCCTTGGGGTCTGAAATGAGGCAGGCCTTTGGGGAGGAGGCCAGTGAGGTTGCAAGCCCTCCCCAAAATGCAAAAAAGGCCGTTCTGTGGGGTTGCTTACCGAGTGTGCGCCTTCCTCCTGCGCTTTGAGGCAATGCAAGCAATGCAATGCCTTGCAACCTCCCCACCCCTTTCCCTCTCTTCCTCTTCCTCTTCCTCCTCTTCCTCCTCCTCCTCCCGGGGAGGCTGGGCCTGGCCAGGCGGAGAAGCCTGCCATTGGCTGCCGGGGGAGGGTCAGGGAGGAAAGGCGAAGGCGACCCAAAGCGAGCTGGGTTTGCACCGCCTCCGCCTCGGATCATGGTCTGGGCCGGCGGAGCGAGGCTCTGGGCCGCCGCGGGGCTCTCTTTGGGGCTGCGATCCGGTAAGGGAGGCTCAGGGGAGGGGGGGGGGAGGGCAGAGGAGCCCTTGGGGGCACCCCCTCGTGGCTTTGCCAAGGGCGCGCGGGTCTGTCATCCAGCCCAGGAGGGTTCAGCATGGCCGTGGGTTGCAAGGCTCCCTGCTTACATAAGACTGGCTCAGGCCAAAGGGCAACGTGGGCCTTCCTCCAGAGAGAGTGGACCTGCAAAAGAGGGCATTGCAGTTGTGATAATGGAGAGGAGCTTGCAGTCTGGGCACCTTGGCAGTTGCCACACTCTTCTGTTAGGTAAAGGTTTTCCACTGACATTAAGCTCAGTCCTATCCAACTCTGCAGGTTGGTGCTCATCTCTGTTTCTAAGCCAAAGAGCCGGCGTTGTCCATAGACGCCTCTTGGTCACATGGCCGGCATGACTGCATGGAGTGCCATAACTTTCGTACTTATTGATCTACAGCGTTCCCTCACTTATTGCGGGGTTACATTCCAGGACCGCCCGCAATAAGTGAAAAACCGCAATGTAGGGATGTTCAATTGATTTTAATATTTATACATTACTAGCCGTCCCCTGCCACGCATTGCTGTGGCCCACATGGAGGTTCTGTGTGGAAGGTTTGGCCTAATTCTGTCATGAGTGGGGTTCAGAAAGCTCTGTGATTGTAGGTGAACTATAAATCCCAGCAACTACAACTCCCAAATGTCAAGATTCTATTTTCTCCAAACTCCACCAGTGTTCACTTTTGGGCATATTGAATATTCATGTAGAGTTTGGTCCAGATCCATCATCCTACAGTGATATCTGGATGTAGGTGAACTACAACTCCCAAACTCAACGTCAATGCCCACCAAACTCTTGTAGTGTTTTCTGTTGATCATGGGAGTTCTGTGTCCCAAGATTGGTTCAATTCCATCATTGGTGGAGTTCAGAATGTTCTTTGATTGTAGGTGAACTATAAATCCCAGCAACTACAACTCCCAAATGACAAAATCAATTTTTGAGTGAAGGACATACATTGGGTTATTAGGTGTATCATGTCCAAATTTGGTGCCAATTGCCCCAGTGGTTTTTGAGTTCTGTGAATACCACAAACAAACATTACATTTTTATTTATATAGATTTTAGTCTATTTTAAGTGAAGGAAAGGAAGCAAAGGCCCTTCGAGGCTGGAGGGAGGGAAGACTGAGGAGGGAAAGTGCCTTGGAGAGCAGCAGCGGCAAAAACCCACAAAACAGCGAAAATGCAATATGTATTTTAATTTTTTTTAAATCTGCGAAACAGCAAGTCCGTTAAAAGTGAACCATGAAGTAGCGAGGGAACACAGTACTCACATTTCCATGTTTTTGAACTGCTAGGTTGGCAGAAGCTGGGGCTAACAGCGGGAGCTCACGCCGCTTCCCGGATTTGAACCACCAACCTTTTGGTCAGCAAGTTCAGTAGCTCAGTGGTTTAACCTGCTGCGCCACCGGGTTCTTCTGCTAGTGGTGGGCAAATTCGGTAGGCCCTTTGGTCTGGTTCAGTCTTACATAAGCAGAGCTTCGAGCCAGGCATGGGCAAACTTGGGCCCTTCAGGTGTTTAGGACTTCAACTCCCACAATTCCTAACAGCCTGCAGGCTGTCAAAGGCTTTCATGGCCGGAATTGCTGGTTTTCTGTGAGTTTTTCAGGCTGTATGGCCAGTGGCGCAGTGGGTTAAATGCTGAGCTGCTGAACTTGCTGACTGAAAGGTTTCAGGTTCGAATTAGGGAGGCAGGGTGAGCTCCCGCTGTTAGCCCCAGCTTCTGCCAACCTAGCAGTTCAAAAACATGCACATGTGAGTAGATCAATAGGTACCACTCTGGCAGGAAGGTAACAGCGCTCCATGCAGTCATGCAGACCACATGACCTTGGAGGTGTCTATGGCTCCATCGACTCATTGTGGCTTCTATGGAGAACTCAGGCCCAGTATATTCTTGGGTCATTGATTTGTGTTCTTAGCCCTCCACAATTGAGTTGAGTCTCCTCCTATCAGCTTACTTCACTGCTCAGATTGCATAGTCATACATAGAAATCGGAAATACGACGGCATGGAAGGGCCTAACTTGGGATATTCAATGATCTATCATTACGCTTGAGCTTATTTCATTTTTCCATACTTTCAATGCTTAAAATTCCTAATTTTTAATTCTACCCTCAGTAGCTCAGTGGGTTAAACAATTGAGCTGCTGAACTTGCGACCAGTTTGAATCCCATGAGCAGGGTGAGCTCCCACTGTTAGCCCCAACTTTTGCCAACCCAGCAGTTTGAAAACATGCAAATGTGAGTAGATCAATAGGGACCGCTAACGGCGCTCCATGCAGCCATGCCGGCCACATGACCTTGGAGGTGTCTATGGACAACGCCGGCTCTTCAGCTTAGAACTGGAAATGAGCACCACCTCCCAGAGTCGGACACGACTGGACTTAATGTCAGGGGACAGCCTTTACTTTTACCTACCTTTTGGGTCTGTAAACGCATCTGAAAAACTCCAGACAGCCCTAAGTTATAGGAGTTTAGATTTAGATAGAACATTAGAAGCGAAATCTAGGTCGTGTGAACAGTAGGACATTGGAACCAATTGCCTGGGGAGATGGAAAGGATCTCTTTCTCTGGGCGTCTTCCCAAAGAGGCTGGAGAGCGCCTTGTTGGACTTTCTGCTTTGTGTGGAATTGCACTTATTGACCTCTAGGGCAGTGTTTCTCAACCTTCCTCGTGTCGCGACCCCTTAATCCAGTTCCTCATGTTGTGGTGACCACCAAGCATAAAATTATTTTCGTTGCTACTTCACATTTGTAATTTTTGCTAGTGTTATGAATCGTAATGTAAATATCTGATATGCAGGATGTATTTTCGTTCACTGGACCAAATTTGGCACAAATCCCTTCTACGCCCAAATTTGAATACTGGTGGGATATCAGATTTTGTCATTTGGGAGTTATAGTTGCTGGAATTTATACTTCACATACAATCAAAGAGCATTCTGAACTCCACCAACGATGGAATTGAACCAAACGTGGCACACAGAACTCCCATGACCAACAGAAAATATTGGAAGGGTTTGGTGGGCATTGACCTTGGGTTTTGGAGTTGTAGTTCACCTACATCCAGAGAGCACGGGACTTAAACAATGATCGATCTGGATCAAACTTGGCACGAATACTGAATATGGCCAAATGTGAACACTGGTGGAGTTTAGGGGAAATAGACTTGACATTTGGGAGTTGTAGTTGCTGGGATTTATAGTTCACCTACAATCAAAGAGCATTCTGAACCCCACTAATGATAGAATTGGGCCAAACTTCCCACATAGAACCCCCATGTCTTGAATGGCATCTCTGGCACAAGCCTCCCCCCAACCTCACACGCTCTCCCTTGCCCACACATGCACAACACGCTGCCATTGCACCGAGCACACCTGCTCTCCCCTCCCCTTGGCTGAAAGGCCTGTCAATTACAACAAGAGGAAGGCTTTTGGTGGGAGGATTCACTGTCAGTTTCCAAAAAGGAAGAGAAGGACAGGCGGAGAGATCTTCCGCCTTCTCTGCCAAAGGGGTTCCTAAGACCATCAGAAATATATGTTTTCTGATGGTCTTTGGCAACCCCTCTGAAATCCCCTCGTGACCCCCAGGTTGAGAAACGCTGCTCTAGGGACTCCTTCCAATTCTAGAATTCAGTGAAAATCAACATCAGCTGCTGAGGTATTTGTTTTCATTTTGACTCCGGAGTCCTTTCACTTTTACTAATGGATTTCTTTGCACAACTCCCTGTGAACAGCTGAATGTTGTTTGCCAACTTTGTGACGGACTGACTTTACCAAGGGTGTGCCTGCCTTACCTGGCCGCAGGTTTAGTGCTTTCAGAATAGAAATAAAAGCCTGGAAATTACATAACCACAGAGCAGGGGTCGGAAACAAGGCCTTTCAATGGCTCAATGCTACAGAGTCCTGGGAGCTATAGTTTGGTGAGGCCCCAGCCCTCTTTGGCAGGCAAGGCAAAATACCATGTAAAACTACAACTCCCAGAATTCCATAGCATTGAGCCATGGCAGTTCAAGTAGTGGAGCCCTTGGTGGCAGAATGGGTTAAAGCAGTAGTTCTCAACCTGTGGGTCCCCAGGTGTTTTGGCCTACAACTCCCAGAAATCCCAGCCAGTTTACCAGCTGTTAGGATTTCTGGGAGTTGAAGGCCAAAACATCTGGGGACCCCAGGTTGAGAACCACTGGGTTAAACCCTTGTGCCGGCAGGAGTGAAGACTGACAGGTTGCAGGTTCAAATTTGAGGAGAGCGCAGATGAGCTCCCTCTGTCAGCTCCAGCTCCCCATGTGGGGACATGAGAGAAGCCTCCCACAAGGATGGTAAAACATCAAAACATCCAGGCGTCCCCTGGGCAATGTCCTTGCAGACAGCCAATTCTCTCACACCAGAAGCGACTTGCAGTTTCTCAAGTCACTCCTGACACGATAAACAAAAGTTCAAGCAGTGTCAAACCATTTATTCTACAGTGTAAACACACTCCTAGGCTCTTTCCACATGGCTGAATAAAATCCCACGTTATCTGCTTTGAACTGGATTATATAGCAGTGTGGACTCAAATAACCCAGTTCAAAGCAGATATTGTGGATTATTCTGTTTTGATATTCTGGGTTATATGGCTGTGTGGAAGGGCTCCTTGTGTACTCTTGATGTTTCTGGACTGCTGGAGATTAAGCTTGCAGAGCCATTCAATTTGCATCTGTTTTGTGGAGATTACACATAGGCAGAGAAACAGCTTTTCTCCATCTTGGCCAGCTAAAAGATGGTTGTGCCTGCACTGGAATATTAATGCACTTTAGTCCCACTTTAACTAGCTCAATGCTGTAGAAACCTGGGATTTATAGTTTGGTGAGGCACCAGCGCTCTTGGGCCGAGAAAGCTAATGGGCTCCTAAAAGTACATCTCCCAGGATTCCTTAGCATTGAACCAGAGTTAAAGTAGTGTCCAACTACATTAATTCTATGTGTTGTCAAAGGCTTTCATGGCCAGAATCACTGGGTTGCTAGGTGCCCAGGTTCCAGAGGCATTTTCCTCTGACGTTTCACCCACATCTTTGGCAGGCATCCTCAGGGGTTGGGAAGTCTGTTGGAAACTAGGCAAGTGAGGTTCATATATCTGCGGCAGGTGTGAATGCTGCCATTGGCCAGTTTGATTAGTACTGAATGGCCTTGCAGCTTCAAAGCCTGGCTGCTTCCTGCCTGGGTGAATCCTTTGTTTAGGTTGTGAGGTCTGTTGGAAACTAGGCAAGTGGGGTTTATATATCTGCGGAATATCCAAGGTGGGAGAAAGAACGCTTGTCTGTTGGAGGCAAGTGTGAATGTTGCAATTGGAAACTGTGATTAGCATTGAATGTCCTTGCACCTTCAAAGCCTGGCTGCTTCCTGCCTGGGTGAATCCTTTGTTTGGCAGTGTTAGCTGGCCCTGATTGTTTCCTGTCTGGAATTCCTGTTTTGTGAGTATTGCTCTTTATTTACTGTCCTGATTTTCGAGTTTTTTAAAACATTGGAAATTAAAAGGGCGGGAAGAATTGGAGATTAATGATTGGTTTCGTTATCACCAACTGCATGAAAGATACAAAAAAGACTTGAGGATTGGATTTGCAACCAAAGAATCAGAATTGGAAAGAATATGGGAAAAGGCGGATAAAGGGTTAATCTCTAGATTATACAAATACATACTAAGCTATAACATGGAGGACAACAGAGTCAAGACAGTAATGTTATCCTGGGCCAAGGACCTAGGCAGACCAATAGAATTGGACAAATGGGAATACCTATGGAACAAAGAATTCAAATTTACTTTATCGGGTTCAATCAGGGAGAATCAATACAAAATGTTTTATAGGTGTTCTATCACTCCAGCAACATTGGCTAAAATAGACAAATCACAACAAGGTATTTGCTGGAGGTGCAGGAAACAGAAAGGGACATTTCTCCACATGTGGTGGACCTGTGTGATCATACAGGAATTTTGGGATAAGGTAATTAAGGAGACAAATAAAATGTTACATAACAAGATTTAAAAAAGCCCAGGACTGTGTCTGCTAGGTCTACAGAGAGAAAACAATAATCAAAAGGACCAAGAAATATATCAATATAGCTTTGCAGCGGCAAGATTGACCATAGCCAAAGATTGGAAAGGGGAAAAAGGTCTAACCAAAAAGGATTGGAGGGAAAGAATGCGAGAATATATGCTAATGGCCAGACTAACTTATAACAGGAGGAATAAGAGTAATGAGGACTTTCTAGAAAAATGGAAGTTGGCCATGGCATATCTGAATAGAGAGTCAGTAATATAGAGGAGCTCCATTAGGAATTTAGGTTTACCATGAATAAGGATAGATAAATAGGCTTAAAGGCTTCATAGTGTTTTGGTGTGGGAAGTCATGGTGAAGGGTGCACGGGTGTGGGGATGAGGGTTTATTTTGTTTAGGATAGGGGTTTTGGGATGAGTGTAAGGTCTGTGGTATGTGTGTAAAATGCCATGTGATGATTTACTGAATGTTATGGAAAAAAATTAATACAAAGCTCTGACTGAAAGCAGTGGAAAACAGGCAGAAATAGCAAGTCTATGTGTATTAAGATATGTAAATGATAATAATTTGTACTTAATGACAAAATTAATTGATCGATTGAATAAGGTAGATAGGCATATACACGTCAAAAATATTGGTACTTGATTATATCTGCCATGATTTGCTTTTCTGTTATGTACCATAATTTAAAAAAAATCAGTTTTAACTTTAAAACAAACAAACAAACAAACAAAAACCACTGGTAGCTGGATTTGGTTCCTTTTCATGGTTTTCATGGCAGAGTTCCACTGCTGAACGGCTCTCACAGTCAGGAAGTTCTTCCTAATGTTCAGATGGAATCTCCTTTCTTTTTTATGTCTTTTTTAATTGCTGACACAGGTAGACTCTCCTTTCTTGTGATTTGAAGCCATTGTTCTGCGACCTAGTCTCCAGGGCAGCAGAAAACAAGCTTGCTCCCTCCTTCCTATGACTTCCTCTTACATATTTATACATGGCTATCATGTCTCCTCTCAGCCTTCTCATCTTCAGGCCAAACATGCTTAGCTCTTTAAGCCACTCCTCATAGGGCTTGTTCTCCAGACCCTTGATCATTTTAGTCGCCCTCCTCTGGATACACTCCAGCTTGTCAATATCTCTCTTCAATTGTGGTGCCCAGAATAGGACACAATATTCAAGGTGTGGTCTAACTAAGGCAGAATAGAGCATGGGGAGCATGACTTCCCTGGACCTAGACCAGGGGTCCTCAAACTTTTTAAACCGAGGGCCAGGTCACAGTCCCTCAAACTGTTGGAGGGCTGGATTATAATTTGAAAATAACATGAATGAATTCCTATGCACGGTGCACATATCTTATTTATAGTACAAAAAACACTTTAAAACAATACAATAATTAAAATGAAGAAACAACTATAAACTTATTAGTATTTCACTGGGAAGTGTGAGCCAGCGTTTAGCTGATGAGATAGGAGTGTTGTTGTTGTGTGCTTTCAAGTAGTTTCAGACTTAGGTTGAGTTCGAGCGAGGGCCGGGTAAATGACTTTGGAGGGCCATATCCTGCCCCCGGGCCTTAGTTTGAGGACCTCTGATCTAGACACTAGATTCCTACTGATGCAGGCCAAAATCCCATTGGCTTTTTTTGCTGCCGCATCACTTTGTTGGCTCTTGTTTAACTTGTTGTCCACGAGGACCCCAAGATCTTTTCCCCAACCTCTGAGGATGCCTGCTATAGATGTGGGTGAAACGTCAGGAGAGAATGCTTCTGGGACATGGCCTTACAGCAACCTGGAAAACTCACAGCAATACATTAATTCTGTAATGTAGACGCAGCCTCCGAGTTTGGAGGTCTTTCGGCAGAGGTTCAGTGGGCATCTTTTATGGCTTTTGGGTGGCAGGGTGTTGGACTTAGATAGATGGTTGGACTACATAGCCATTGTGGGCCCTTTCCAACTCTCTTCTCAGACTTCCTTCCTTTATATTTATGCTGAAGTAGGCTTTGTTGTTGTTGACACCAAAAGAAAAAAAGCTGGTAGAACAAGAGAGGGGAGCCTTAGGCCAGGTGACTTTTGCGTCTCCAAAACAGGTTGATCCGCTTGGAGACTGGAAAGGAAGAAACCTCTTCGGAGGGACGGAAACTTTGGCGGAGAGGTGTAGATTTGGCAGGTTTTGGGGGGATTGAATTGCACAGTGCAAAGGGGTCATACTATGGGAACAAGAGATGAGAGCCATTTTCAAAGCTTGGCTTAATTTAAGGCGTTGGAGCGTGGCGTTGGTCTTGGGGCTGTCAACGTGAGTGCAACTCTTTGGGTCGCTCTGACAAACTCCCTGATCTTTGCCTTCCTTTTTGCTCTCGTAGTTGCTGCCTTCTATTTCCCGTCTCCTGGGTCCGTCTACACCTACTCTGTAGAGGCGTAACTGCCGTACAGGTGAGGAGAAGAGCTCCTTTGGGGAGAAGGGGGGAGGGTCTTGGAAGAATTGGGGTGCGTCTACACCAGGCCTGGGCAAACTTGGGCCCTCCAGGTGTTTTGGACTTCAACTCCCACAATTCCTAACAGAATTAGGAACAGTTTGACCCCACTTTGGCTGTTACATCTCAATGCCACAGGATACTGGGAGTTGTAGTTTCACGGGATCTTGAGCCTTTTCTGCCAAAGAGTGCAGGTGCCTCACCAAACTACAAATCCCACGACTCCACTGCATTGAGTCCTAGCAGTTACAATCAGGTCAAACTGCATTCATTCGACATCTGTCTCCTAAAAATTCTTCCTGTTTTATTTGATGGGTTAGGGTTAGTCCGGAGCTACACGGCCATATAATGCAGCTTGAACTACTTTATATAATTATAATTATATAAATTAATATATAATTAATTATAATTATATAAATTAATTATTTTTTTGAAAAAATATTACATACCCAGCTTGAAGCAGGATACAACATAATTCAAACAAGAGATAAAATACTATTATATGGTCAATGAAGCCCATATTAACTGCATTATATGGGTCTACATTGATCATATAATGCAGTTCAAGCTGCATTACATGGCACTGTAGATCCAGCTTTAGTTCTTTTGACTGTTCAACTGCCGTCCAGTCCCAGAATTCTCTCTTCCATCTTCTCCTAGAAGGAGCCAACAGATCTTTGACTCAGGATTCTCTCCTTCTCCTCCTCCATCTTCTCCACCATCTTCTCCCAGAAAGATCCAACTGACAGTGGACCCAGAGCGTTGTGGACCTTTCCTCACTGACCGTAACTTCTCTTGTCTAAAACGTCTCTGGTTTTGCTTCTCTCCTGAAGGTTTCCCCCTTTTCCGGGCACACTTTCTCCATACGGACTTTGAGAGAAGGCCTTCCAAGGTGGTCGCTCAAGCCAACATGAAAGTGGAGCTGCTTCCTGCCTTGACGGACAACTACATGTACCTCCTCATTGATGAGGAGACCAAGGAGGCCGCCATCGTTGACCCAGTTCAGCCCCAGAAGGTACATTGAAATGAATCCAAACACAAAGCATTTTCAACAGTGGTTCCCAACTTTTTTTTTGACCAGGGACCACTTTGACCAGGGACCACTCTCCAACATTAGTACCGAAGAGTTACAAATCAACTTTGGTCAACTTCAGATTCAGTTTGGTTGTTTGGGGTTCTGATTCAGAAAATTGCATTGGATAGACCACATCAGCTCTAATTTCTGATGCAGAACATATGCCATCCAGTAGTCTCCATCTGCTCACCCACAGAAAACCATCTATATAAATAAAAATGTAATTTTTGTTTGTTGGATTAACATTACTCAAAAACCATTGGACGAATTGACACCAAATTTGGACACAATACACCTATCTGACGAATGAGTGACCATCACTCATAAAAACACTGAAAAACACAGCAGAAGAGACTTAAAAAGCAAAAAAACATTACATTACAATGCATGCACAAAACCACATATATTCAAATATACACATATATATACACACAAAACATATATACACAGACTGGGCCAAAGCAACACATGGCAGGGAATGGCTAGTATTTAATTAGCTTTATTGGAAATTCCATAACCCATTGGAATTAACTGCACCATAACCTTATTGAAAAGGTAAAATTTATTTATTTATTTACAGTATTTATATTCCGCCCTTCTCACCCCGCAGGGGACTCAGGGCGGATCACAATGCACACAAACATGGCAAAAATTCAATGCCATAGACACACAACATATATAGACAGAGACACAGAGGCTATTTAACTTTACAGTTTCATAAGGGTGTGCTTTTTGAATTTCGGCCACCGGTGGAGCTGTCGGTTCACCATCCACTTGTGACACCGATGGAGTACTTCTTCATTCTTCAGCACGCTGCTGGAGAGTTTTTTATGGCGTCATAAATTAGTTAAATTAGCTTCCCCGTAGAAGCAGTACCTAAATTTCCTACTTGACTGATGCAACTGTATTTCAGTCTGCAAAAGTTGACAGGAAGCTAGACAAATGGCCGGAAGCTCACTCCAACCCGGGCTGGCTTCAAACTCATAACCTCTTGGTCAGTAGTGATTTTAATGCAGCTGACTCCCAACCAGCTGCGCCACAACCCGGTCACATCCATTTGGCAAATGTGAATCTCCATGAACATGTGTAAACCACCTTTTGAAAACCACAAGTCAAGAAAAGCATGACCTTTTTTAGAAATCAACCCTTTGAACATGTGATATTCATAAGCATTCATGTAATGGCACACAGGTAACTCAGCTGTTAAACTGAAGAACCATGTCTTTAAACTGCTAAGGATAAAGACATGCCGCTACAAAAATATATTGGATTAGCAGGGGATTGTTGTTTCTTTGAAGTAGAATTTGTGGTTGCAATTGCCCAAAAGATATACACTCCCTTGAAACCTCTTAGTTAAAATATGCACTCAGAGATTTAAAAAAAACCAAAAAACCCCACAAAATCTTATTCGAAAATAACATTTCAGGTTTACTAACAAACGTATACATTCAGCATGCCGGTCCATAGCCCAATGTTTTTAAGCATATAGATAGAGTACAAACTGTATAACTGTACTCACTGAAGTCTGAAAGGAGACACATTACATCCACCTCCATTGAGGTCTAAAAGCATACTGGATAACAAAAATGGAGTCCTATGTATGAAGCCCCTCTCACACCAAAGAGGGACAGTCAAACTGGCAAACCAAAATGTATATACAATATAGGTTAACAATTATACACATTTACAAATAGTTAGTGGAGGCTTGGAAGGTTGCAATTTCCAACAGGCTTTGGCACTATAAGAGGGTTTCGCGAGTCCCGTTGCTCTTGTTGCAACGATGTAGTAACGGTGAGGCTGAGGACCATATTTTAGTTCTTGCAGACCACTGGTTTCAATAAACTCTCGGTTAACGTATAGGCTTGGGTCAATGTCAGATAAATATAATATAATGTATTGTATATACATATAATATTTATAATACTGTAATGTAATGCAATACTAATACTAATAATATATTATAATTATATATTTATATTACATGTAATATTACTAATATTATTACAATATAATGGTATAGTACAATATAGTAATATTTAATACTGATATTGTACTATGCTAATAATATAATATATTGTATGTATATATATCTTGTAAGCCACTCTGAATCTCCTTCGGGGTGAGAAGAGTGGCATATAAATGTCATAAACAAACAAACAAACCAACAAATAAATAAATGCCACTTCCGGTTGCTTTAGAGTTACTTTTAAAAAGAGGCCTCACTAATACTACACCCCATACTATACCATACCATAACCTCTGTATTGATCTGATATTAATATAGAAATACAGTCATTAAGAGCAGATTCAGACAAACTTCCCGTAACTTGCTGTGACACTAATAGCTAAAACCTTTCTTTTCAGGCAGGCTTTTAAAGAAAGTCACTTTATAGTGAGATTCAGAGGGATGCTGAATAGTGTTTATGTCTTTTAATAGGCTTTTAGTTATTTCAATGGCTTTCAGATTATTTTTAATACTCCTGTGTTTTCATTCTATTTTAATGTCTCTGTTTTCCATTTCAAATTGCGCATTGTTTTGGGTTTTTTGCTCGAGTCTTTAAGAAAGACCAAGCAGGATACAGAGAAACATTACTTGAAATTGCTTCCTTGTCTTGCTCTTCCGATAGGTTCTGGACGCCGTCCGAAAACATGGGGTGAAATTGACCACTGTCCTCACAACGCATCACCACTGGTAACCCTTTTTGCAATGAGATTCAAATAAATAAAAAGGTAGATGCTTGGAGTATGTGCCCGATCCCATTCTCCGTGTTGCAGTGCCAAGAATAGCTTGCCCCAATCACGTTTGCTTCAAGACAAAAAGCTCTAAGCTTGTGTTCTGTGGTAGTTTGACTCACCTGGACGTTTCGGCCCACTTTCATCCACTTGGCAGGGTCTCCCGGTCAAGCTGGGAAATGTTCTCCAAAATGAAAGGGGGAAATAAAGATGCCAACATCTCCTCTCACGCTGTAGTTTTCAGTTTCTTTGCAAGACTCTGGGTGCATCTGCACTGTTGAGTGAACGGAGATGCTGTTCGTTGACAGGTTTCTTCCAAAGCAAAGGCTGGTTTGCTTGAGAAGTGCGTTGTCGGGGAATGTCTCTTGTGTGTCCGCGCAGCCCCCCAAGTCTGACGTTTTGACCTTCCAGGGACCACGCTGGTGGCAATGAGAAACTGGTAAAGATGGAGCCTGGGTTGCGAGTGTACGGGGGAGATAGCAGGGTTGGAGCCCTCACCCAGAAAGTCTCTCATCTTATGTCATTTCAGGTAAAGAACATACAAAAAAAGGGGGATGGGAGGAGAACACATTGGCCCAAACGCTATCCAAACCTTGTGCTTCACTGAGGCGGTTGGTCGGCATCTGGTTCTTTAGCACCTCAGAGGTCTCACTGGGAAACGATAGGCTTTGATTTGTGCTTTGTGTGCATTGGAGTGGGCTGGAGCAATGCAGAACGTAGGTCTTGAAAATGGTTCGTGGGCAGCACAGATAGAGTTGCTGTAGGGAGAAGAGGCCAGAATGTGTTTGGAAAGGCAGAGGAAAAAGTCCCTTGAACTAATAACTACTCATTGATCCACTGGATGGTTAAAGGCAGCATTGAATATTTCCATGATGTCCCATGGACAGCCCTTACCCATTGAAATACCATGAATATCTCCAAGAAACCCATGGGCAACCCTACCCATTGATCCATTAGATGGTTGAATATCTCCATGAAACACATGGATCCATTAGGTGGTTGAATATCTCCATTAAACCCATGGGTGCCCCTGCCATTGATCCATTACATGGTTGAAAATCTCCATGAAACCCATGGACAACCCTACCAATTGATCCATTAGAGGGTTGACTATTTCCATGAAACCCATGGACAACCCTACCCATTGATTCATTAGGTGGCTAAATATCTCCATAAAATTCATTGACAATTCTACCCATTGATTCATTAAGATGGTTGAATATCTCAATGAAACACATGGCCAACCCTACCCATTGATCCATTAGATGGTTGAATACCTCCCATGGAAGCCTTACCTATTGAATTCCCATGAACAACCCTGCCTATTGATGTATTGGATGGCCAATGGCCTAATTAGTCACTGCCATGATCTCCCCTGGGGTCCTTGTGGTGCGAAGCAATGGGGACCACCTTCCCTGAGATTCCAAAATTCCACTTTTCTTTCCCCCAGTTCCCTGATTTCATCCTTTCTATCTACAAATCCTTCCCCCCCCCCCCCCCCCCCCCCCCGGAAACGAATCTATCCAGGTCAAAGACAGAGATAGTTGACGAAGCCATTGGGAAAACCCGTCCATCTCCACTTCTGGCCCGCAGTGACCAAGGCAAGGCGACATATATCGATATTACAGGGGAAAAGCACTTCCTTCCTGCAAGTTTCCCTGCTGCCTTAAGGAGAGTCCATTTTTAAAGGAAGTCAGCTAGAATAGAGCAGAGTAGTGAGGATGCCTCAGTTTCCAGGGTGCTGTTGTTTCACATTGCGTTTTCTTGTGCCTCAGTATTCACTACAAGCTGGGACTTTCTGTGTGCTCAAGAGCCCAGTCCTTCTTTGTCGTTTGGACCTTCTTATCAAATATCCTGAATGTATCCTCTCTCTTAGGTGGGCTCCTTGAATGTGAAATGCCTCGCCACCCCTTGCCACACTTCGGGGCACATCTGCTATTTTGTGACCAAGCCCAACAGCTCTGAGCCCCCAGCCGTCTTCACGGGTGAGATTCGGAATGGATCGCATGAAAATAATAATAATATACTTTATTTATATTCCGCTCCATTTCCACGAGGGGACCCAGGGCAGATAACAGAACACATATATGGCAAACATTCAATGCTGTTATACAAATAACAGGGACAGACAATACATAAACAGAGGTAGGCTTTCCCATTTCTTCCATCTCCAGCATCTGGAGGCTGTGGTTGACTTTGGCCATGGGTTGATACTGTCACCCCATCTTCCATGCGGAGGAGCTTTGTTGTCCGTACATGTCCTCCTGATCGAATCGCTAACATGTTCTTATGGGTACTTTTTTATTACCTCCCCGACGGCAAGGATCTGGATGAGTGGAAGAGCTCCTACTTTGTCCTTACCATGCATTACTCTGGTGGAGCCCTTGTGCCAGCAGGACTGCCGACCGAAAGGTTGGTGGTTCGAATCTGGGGAGTGGGGAGAGCTCCTGTCTGTCAGCTCCAGCTTCTCAAGCGGGGACATGAGAGAAGACTCCCACAAGATGGTAAAACACCTGGGCGTCCCCTGGGCAACGTCCTTGCAGATGGCCAATTCTCTCACACCAGAAGCAACTCGCAATTTTTCAAGTTGCTTCTGACATGAAAAAAATCCTCCCCACGAAAAGCGGTACATATTTATCTACTCACATTACTGTTTTCGATCTGCTAGGTGGGCTGACAGTGGGAGCTCACCCCGACCTGAGCTTGAACTGCCAACCTTTCGATTGGCAAGATTTTTTACAGCTGGCGGTTTAACCCGCTGTGCTAAAGCTTGGCCCCAAAAGGGTGCTGTAAGTCAGAAATAACTTGGAGGCATACCACAGCATGTGACGTAGTGATTTACAAAAGGGAAATGTTAATATGGTTTTTCTTTTCTGCCTCTCTCTCTCTCTCTCTCCGTTTAGGGGACACGCTCTTTGTGGCCGGCTGTGGGAAGTTCTTCGAGGGCACTCCGGAGGAAATGTATAAAGCTCTGATCGAGATCTTGGGCCGCCTCCCTCCTGAAACGGTAACTTGTAACCAGTAAAAATTGGACCCGTTGGCCCGAAATCCATGTTTGAATTCCCCATGTATTTGAAACATATCTATCCAAGAACATTTTACTGTCCCCAAATTTAGCATCACTATTTTTGAGAGAGATTGAGAAGGAAGATATTTGAGCGTGCTGTGAAAGGGAGGATCCACAGGAGAAACACAGAACATGAAGCCTGGCCTTCTTGTTTTCCTGTCCCTTCCCTAGAATGATGCATGGAGTTGTGATTTCAGGGCTGTATGACCCACTTTGTTTTCATTGAATCTTGGAGCTGGAAGGGTCCCAAAGGGCTATCCATTCCAACCCCCTTCTGCTAGATAGGAAGACACCATCCAGGACCTCCTGACAGATGGTCATCCTGCCTCTGAATCATTGAAGCCTAGAGTTTGAAGGGACTCCAAGAGCCATCCAGTCCAACCTCCTTCCAGTAATCTATCTATCTATGTATATAATAAAAGTCAAAGTTTGTATGCGAAGGACAGAAGTGCGTAGGGCGGAAGTGTGGAGGGCAGAAGTGCGGAGGGTGGAAGCCTATGTGCCAGCTTTCTGATTGGCTGCCGCTGTGGTGCTATTTGCATATGGTCTCTGATTGGCCAGCTTCAAGAGGAGCCCCTGGTGGAGAAAAGGGTTCATGACAGAAATGGGGACATGAGAGAAGGAAATTTGCATATGGTCTCTGACTGGCCAGCCTCAATTCCAAGATTCCAAGATGACAAAGAGAGGAAAGGAAAAGGCCAGAGGGGGCTGCGTCAGAAAATTACCAATACAGACCACACTTGGCACACAGAGCCCCCATGACCCACTCGACATCCTAGTGCAGTTTGGAGGAGGATGAACCATGGATGATGGGACATCACTCACATTCTGAGACCGCTGTTAACCTCATCCAATGACTGATCAGGACCAAACTTGGCACATAGACCTCTCATGACCCACTTTACGTCCAGGTGTGGTTTGGCTGGGGATGGACCATGGATTAAGGGACTTGCAGTACCTTTGCTCAATTTTTGAGACCATTGCAACCCTCATCCAGTTACCGATAAAGACCAAACTTGGCACACTCAGTTTCCATGATGCACTCTACATCCTGGTGCAGTTTGGAGGAGGATGCACCATGAACGATGGGACTTGCAATACCTGCACTCCCTACCTAAGACCATTACAACTGCCAACAATGATGGATCAGGACCACAATTTACACAGAAAGCCCGCATGACCCACTCTACATCCTGGTGCAGTTTGGAAGAATTTGACAATGGATGATGGGACTTCCAGTCACTTCACTCACTTCCTGAGACCACTGAGACCCTCGCCAATGACTGATCAAGACCAAACTTGGCACGCAGAGTCCCCATGACCCACTCTACATCCTGGTGCACTTTTGAGGAGGACAGACCATGGATGATGGGACTTCAAGTACCTCCACTCCCTTCCCAAGACTGCTGCAACCCTCATCTAATGTCCAATCAAGACCAAACTTGGCACACAGAGCCCCCATGACCCACTCTACATACTACTGCAGTTTGGAGGAGGATGGACCATGGATGATGGGACTTGCAGTACCTAAACTTACTTTATGAAACCACTGTGACCCCGAACCAATGACTGATCAAGACCAAACTTGGCACACAGAACCCCCATGACCCTATCTACATTTGGAGGAGGGTGGATCATGGATGATGGGACTTGCAGTCCCATCACTTCACTCACTTATTGAAACCACTGCAACCCTAATCCAATGACTGATCAAGACCAAACTTAGCACACAGAGCCCCCATGACCCACTCTACATCCTGCTGCAGTTTGAAGGAGGATGGACTTCAGATGATGGGACTTGCAGTACCTTCACTCACTCACTGAAACCACTGCGACCCTGAACCAACGGCTGATAAAGACCAAACAATAAGCAATTGAAAAAGGAGGATAAAGAAGCAATAACGAACTTACTAACTATAGCAAGACTGCTCATAGCAAGGAATTGGAAAAAAGAAATGAATATACAAATAGAGGAGTGGTATAAGGAAGCATGGAAAATAGCAATAAATGATAAATTGACATGTATATTAAAGGTTAAAAAAGGTATATGGAAACAAAGTGATTTTGATGCTGTATGGGGAAGATTTGTGGTAAATGGATTAAAAAATAAGGAAGGAAAATTACCGTCACAAGAAGAAATGAAATTTTGGACAGATGAAATGTAAGAATTGTGGCTTGAGACGGGAGGAGGGGAGCACTGTGGTGATAAAAAAAAAGAGAGAAAAGGGGGGGGGGGAATGTCAAAGCAAAATAATAAAACAACATGTTAAAGAGGCTGATGTACAAAATGCAATAGTATGTAATAAATGTGATAAACCAATAAAAATTATTATAAAAAAAAGACCAAACTTGGCACACAGAGCCCCCATGACCCTATCTGCATCCTGTTTCAGTTTGGAGGAGGGTGGATCATGGATGATGGGACTTGCAGTACCTTCACTCACTTACTGAAACCACTGCGACCCTAATCCAATGACTGATCAAGACCAAACTTAGCACACAGAGCCCCCATGACCCACTCTACAGCCTGCTGCAGTTTGAAGGAGGATGGACTTTGGATGATGGGACTTGCAGTACCTTCACTCAATTACTGAAACCACTGCCACCGTAATCCAATGACTGATAAAGACCAAACTTGGCACACAGAGCCCCCATGACCCGCTCTATATCCAGCGGCTGTTTGGAGGATATAGTACCTTCAAGTACCTTCACTCACTTCCTGAAAACAATGCAACCGTCATCCAATGACCAATAAAGACCAAACTTGGCATACAGAACCGCCATTACCCACTTTCTCAAATACCCTGGGCAGCACTGGGTCCCCAAGCTAGTATATAAATAAAAATGTAATGTTCGTTTGTGGGATTAACAGAACTCAAAAACCACCGGACGAATTGGCACCAAATTTGGACACAAGACACCTAACAACCCAATGTATGTCCTTCACTCAAAAAATTGATTTTGGGAGTTGTAGTTGCTGGGATTTACAGTTCACCTACAATCAAAGAGCATTCTGAACCCCACCAATGATGGCATTGAACCAAACTTGGCACACAGTTCTCCCATGACCAACAGAAAATACTGGAAGGGTTTGGTGGGCAGTGTCCTTTGGTTTTGGAGTTGTAGTTCACCTACATCCAGAGATCACTGTGCACTCAAACAATGATGGATCTGGACCAAACTCTACACGAATACTCAATATGCCCAAATGTGAACACTGGTGGAGTTTGGGGAAAATAGAATCTTGACATTTGGGAGTTGTAGTTGCTGGGATTTATAGTTCACCTACAATCACAGAGCATTCTGAACCCCACCAACGATAGAATTGGGCCAAACCTCCCACAGAATCCCCATGTGGGCCACAGCAACGCGTGGCAGGGGATGGCTAGTAGTAGTAATAATAATAATAACAACAACAACAACAGCAACAGCAATAACATAATCCTTGAGTAACAATAATACATTATATAATAATAATAATAATAATAATAATAATAATAAATAAACATCAACAAATCACAATCTGTCAGCTGCAAAATGCCACCTTACTTGGATCTGCGTGCATCATTCGAAAATACATCACACAGTCTTAGAGGCTTGGGAAGTGTTCGACTTGTGATTTTGTGATACAAAATCCAGCATATAGATCTCGTTTGCTGTGACATACTGTGCTTTTGTGTCAATAATAATAATAATAATAGAATCTTAGAGTTGGAAGAGACCCCCAAAGGCCATCCGGTTCAACCCCCTTCTGCCAGGCAGGAAGACACCATCCAAGCCCTCCCTACAGATGGCCATCCAGTCTCCATTTAAAGACCTTGAGAAAAGGAGACTCAAACACAATCCAAGGCAATAGAATCCTTCACTGTTGAGAAATTCTGTCAGGAAGTGCTTCCTAATGCTTAAGTGGGTTCCTTTTCCTGGAGTTTGAACCCATTTTTTTCCTCTTTCCCAGAAAGTCTACTGCGGCCACGAATACACCATCAACAACTTGAAGTTTGCTCGGCACGTGGAGCCCAACAACAGCGCCATACAACACAAACTCTCCTGGGCAAAGGTAAGGAGGGATACGGTACTTCTCTTTGCGAGACAAATGGGGTTGCCTCATCACTCCCCTTTTCTTCCATATTTCTTCATATCTTCCATATGAGACCTCTTTTTAAGCTGGGGGATTCTGGGAGTAAGAGTCTGGAAAAAAGTTGGCCTTCACAAACTTGGATCTTGGCAACCACTTCCTGATGTTAGTGGATGGAAATTGCTTCTCTTAAGTTGGCACACTGGGGGCTAGCCAAAATGTTAGCATACCTGAAGAGTATCTATTATTATGATTATAACTGTTATTAGTTGAGTATCCCTTATATTGTGGATTTTATTGCAATCCAAACTGTTGCAAGCATTAAAATAGAATGTGGTTTGAGCATCTCTTATCTTCGGAGCAAAAGTGTTTGGTGTTTTGAATTTTTCCCCTCTTGAATTTCGGACTTTTTTGCATATCCAGGTCCGAACACAAAATTGTTGCAGAATACACCTTGCATGCATTGTGTGGAGGTTAATGTTAGACATCGTATTTTTAATCATTTTCTGCACAAAGCCAAGGTTGTATCCGTTGAGCCACCAAAGGGATCACAATCTCAGTTATACATCTGAAGCATTTTGGAAGTTTCGGATGTTCAGATTAGAAGAGACCCTCAAAGGGCAACTAGTCCAGCCTCCTTCAGCCAGTCAGGAAGACACAGATTTTTGAACTGATAGCCACTCAACCTCAGTTCAAAAACTCCAGAGAAGGAGACTCCACTGGAAGGGACCCCCAAAGGGCATTTAGTCCAGCTCCCTTCAGCCAGGCAGGAAGGCACAATCAAGCCCTCTCAACAGATGGCCATCAGCCTCAGATCAAAAAGCTCCAGAGAAGGAGATTCCACTGGAAGGGACCCCCAAAAGGCCATCTGTTGAGAAGGCTTTGATTGTGCCTTCCTGCCTGGCTGAAGGGAGCTGGACTAAATGTGCTTTGGGGGTCCCTTCCAGTGGAATCTCCTTCTCTGGAGCTTTTTAGCACCTTTCAGCCAGCCAGGAAGGCACAATCAAAGCCCTCCTGACAGATGGCCATCCAGCCTCAGTTCAGTAACTTCCAGAAAAGGAGACTCCACTGGAAGGGACCCCGGAAGAGCATCTAGTCCAACCCCTTCAGCCAAGCAGGAAGGCACAGTCAAATCTCTCATGACAGATTGTCATCCAGCCTTAGTTCAATAACTTCCAGAGAAGGAGACTTCACTGGAAGGGACCCTCAAAGGGCATCTAGTCCACCCCCTTCAGCCAGGCAGCATGGCACAATCAAAGCCTTCTCAATAGATAGCCATCCAACCTCTATTTAAAAACCTTCAGAGAGGTGTAATCCCTACAGAAGTGGAGTGTTGGCGTTGTTCAAGTATAGGGACTGTTATAACTTTTATGATTTGCACAATTTGTTGATTAAGTCACAGCAATTACCACTAAAATTGATACATTTTTAATTAAGAGAAGACAATCTGTTGACAACCATATTTGTGATGAAGGTGGCTAGAGATGAACCAAAACAAGAATCAAACGTAGGATATAAGAAGAGTCAAGGGGAAAATGTCCAAACCACATTCGTACCATAAAGATTATATGACACTTCTTTATAATGTGTATTATATAATCTATATATTGTATGAAAGTCTTCTAAGGGCTTCATTTAACCCCCGGTTTGCCAAAAAACCTACACGAAGGGTTTGGAAAGCTGTGGGATAAGGGATGCTCAGCCTGTAGCATCAGTTTCGCCGTCGTTCCAATGTGGCTCCCAGGGCAATGTGGGGTCAATCTGCTGACCTCCTTTTCCGTCACTTCCACATAAAATAGCAATAGCTCCCCTTTATTTCTCTTTCTTCCAGTGGGGATAGTAGATAATCACATTATTCCAAAATCATGCCTTTTTCTGGTATCCCAAGCACCAAAGACATTTTGCCTTTTCTCTGCAGGCGAAATATGACAGTGGCGAACCGACCATCCCTTCGACTATTGGAGAAGAGTTTGCCTACAATCCCTTTATGAGAGTCAGGTGAGTTTGGGACATTTTGGGGTCTGTTGCTGATCCAGAACGCAAGCAGGACCCTAAGGGCTTGAGAGAAGAAGGGAGGACAGAAGAATATTATCATCCAACATTTTATCTCGTAGAAGAAACTCAAAGCAGCTAACACCGTTAGAAAAAGAAATACAATGTACAATTTAAAACCTGCAATATAGAAACACTAAAATATAACTAAATATAGAGCAATTAAAGATAAACACCATATTTCATTGCTTAATAGTTGCAACCCCCCCCCTTTTATTATTATTAGAAATATTTTGTGATGAAAAAATAATCTGCCTTTGATTTTCCAGTTTCTTGGTTGTTGTTTGGAGCTCTTTGGAGGAAGGAGGGAAGAGTGGAGCTCCAGAGACAGTCAAATTATAGTTTTTAAACTGCCTTAAGGCCTGGAAGGGAGGGAGGGAGGGAGGGGAAGGAAGGGAGGGAGGGAGGGAGGAAAGGAAGAAAGAAGGAAGGAAAGAGGAAGAAGGAAAAATGGAAGGAAAAGGAAAGAAGGAAGGAAGAGAAGAAAGAAAGAAGGGAAGAAAGAAAGGAAGAAAGAAAGAGAGAGGGAGGGCAGGGAAGAAAGAGGAAGGAAGGAAGGAAGGAAGGAAGGAAGGAAGGAAGGAAGGAAGGAAGGAAGGAAGGGCAAAAGAATCCTAGAATCCTAGAGTTGGAAGAGACTTCCTGGGCCATCATTCAGTCAGGGAGGAGGAAGGAAGGAAGGAAGGAAGAAGGAAGGAAGGAAGGAAGAGGAAAGGACAAAGGGAAAGAAAGGTGGAAGGAAGATAAGCAGGAGAGAAGGAAGGATAGAAAGATGGAAGGAAGAGAGACAGGAAGGAAGGACAGAAGGGAGAGGGAGGGAGGAAAGAAAGAAGGACAAAAGGAAAGAAAGATGGAAGGAAGATAAGCAGGAAAAAAAGGACAGAAGGGAGGGAGGGAGAAAGGGCTGAAAGAAAGAAGGAGGAAAGGAAGAAAAATTGGAAGGAAGGGAAACGGGAAAGAAGGAAGGAAGGAAGGAAGGAAGGACAAAAGGATAAAAAGACGGAAGGGAGAGAAGGAAGGAAGGAAGGAAGGAAGGAAGGAAGGAAGGAAGGAAGGAAGGAAGGAAGGAAGGAAGGAAGGAGAATGGGAGAGGGAGGGAGGAAGGAAAGAAGGACAAAAGGAAAGAAAGGTGGAAGGAAGATAAGCAGGAGAGAAGGAAGGATAGAAAGATGGAAGGAAGAGAGACAGGAAGGAAGGACAGAAGGGAGAGGGAGGGAGGAAAGAAAGAAGGACAAAAGGAAAGAAAGATGGAAGGAAGATAAACAGGAAAGAAAGAAGGACAGAAGGGAGGGAGGGAGAAAGCGATGAAAGAAAGAAGGAGAAAAGGGGAAAAATTGGAAGTAAGGGAAACAGGAAAGAAGGAAGGACAGAAGGAAGGGAGGGAGAGAAGGAGGAAGGAAAGAATGACAAAAGGAAAGAAAGATGGAAGGGAGGGAGTCAGGAAGGAAGGAGAGAGGGAGGGGGGAATTAGCCCAAAACACTTCTGTGACTATTATGCAAGAAGCTGAAAAATACCAGTTTTGGAACCCAAAGAGGACTATTATGTGATGAAATACAAGCAGGTAAAAACTATTAAATGTCAGCCCTTGCATCCTAGACATTAGCCTAACCCTAACCCTAACCCTAACCTTCAGCGGCCTCAAACGAACTCCTCTCCCCTTTTCTGAACCAAACAGGGAGGCCGCGGTCCAGCAGCACGCCAAGGAAGCGGACCCCGTCCGGACGATGGGAGCCATCCGCAAGGAGAAAGACGGCTTCAAAGTGCCAAAGGATTGAAGCCGACCCCGGTTGATCTCCCTCCTACCCCCTCCTCCCTCTGCTGTTTTTGTTCAATCCGTTCTGGTTCAGTAATTTCCACCATTTCGTCTCCATGCCAGCCAGGCACCGCTATTGAAAATGATTTTAATTTTTCGTGGAATGTGCCCATTGTGTGGTGATATATTTTTATGTTTTGGGGGCACGGCCGCAGGGAGCAGAATGGCCACCCTTTTTGGCACGAATCTTTGTCTTCCAACTTTTCGATTCATCCGTTCTTTTTCTTTTCCTCCATTAAACGGCTTACACGTCTTTCCCGCAACACAAGGATAACCACTTTGTTTCCACTTTTAACTGTCTTAGGCTGGATCTACACTGCCAGATAATGCAGTTTTGCATTATGTGGGTGAGTATTGACCAGGCCTGGGCAAACTCTGGCCCTCTGGGTGTTTTGGACTGCAACTCCCATAGTTCCTAACAGCCTCGGGCCCCTTCCTTTTCCCCCTCAGCCGCTTAAGCCAAAGGTTGCCCAGGCCTGGTATAGACTCATATAATGCGGTGTACCCTGCATTGAACTTCATTATATGGGTCTTTGCTGCATTATATGACTTCCAAACTGGATTATATATTGGAACGTCGATCCAGCTTTGGCTGGTATTGTTGGAAACCTAGGATTTGTCATTTTAGATAACTACAAATCCCAGAATCCCACGACAATTAATTTGGATCGAAGCGCTATAATTGTGTTGTGCGAAACAAGGGGGAAAGAGTCATAGGAAAAAATGTCTCCTTTCTGAGCTTTGAAATAACTCTTTTGATTTGCAGCTTTGGGACGCTCAGCTGTACCGGATTGTCCCCTTTGTCTTTCTTTGTAGTTTCCCCCTCTATAGGGCTTGGGAAATATCCCTTTAGAGAAAGCAATTGGGGCATGAATTGTGAGAGAAAACAGATTATTGTTGAGTCCCTTTGCTTCCTTTCTACTAAAAATCTATTCACCAGTTTCACTTAAATACCTGGTATGAAAAAGCTCGATTCTATTCCCATTGGATGCGGTCAGAACTAGAAATCCCAACCTTTCCTGCTCTGTATAGAGGAAAGCCACCATTGTTGTTAACAATGTGTTTGGACAAGGAGAAAGGGAAGTTTTTTTAAATGCATTTCAAACTACATTACAAATGTAGTTTTCCAAGAACGGCTGGCATTTGGAACAAAGTGTGTTTGGGTTGCTGTGAGTCTTCCAGGCTGGAGGTCCATGTTCCAAAAGCATTCTCTCCTGACATTTCACCAACACATTTATGGCAAGCATCCTCAGAGAGATTGTGAGATGTGTTGGAAACTAGGCAAGTGGGGTTTAATGTCCAGGGTGGGAGAAAGAACTCCTGTCTGTTGGAGGCAAGTGTGAATGTTGCCATTGGCCAGCTTATTTAGCATTGAATAGCCTTGCAGCTTCAAAGCCTGGCTGCTTCCTGCCTAACACATCTCAACACAGCATCCCCAAAGGCAGGAATCCTTTGTTTGAGGCAAGTGTGAATGTTGCCATTGGCCAACTTGATCAGCATTGAATAGCTTTGCAGCTTCAAAGCCTGGCTGCTTCCTGCCCAACACCTCCCGACAAAGAATTCCCCAAGGCAGGAAGCCATTCAGTGCTAATCAAGCTGGCCAATGGCAACCTTTACACTTTGCTCAGATATATAAACCTCACTTGCCTAGTTTCCAACAGACATCACAACTTCTGAGGATGCCTGCCATAGATGTGGGCGAAACGTCAGGAGAGAATGCTTCTGGAACATAGCCCTACAGCCCAAAAAACTCACAGGAATACAGTGATTCCGGCCATAAAATCCTTCAACAATGTAGTGTTTGTCTTCTTGAGGAAACTACATTTCTTAAGGTAATGGAGCAAGGATAATTTAATCAGGTTCAGGATTATTACATTTAATCCCTGATGTTTAGGAGAAGTTACTTTTTTGACGAGTCCCTAAAAAGTCACTTATGCTGCCACTTAGACATGAAAAACAAAAACCCAGTCACTTGCTCAGCTTGTGCGCCTTCCCCTCTTGATCCCACTAATGTGTGTCTGTACATATAAATATAGATAATATATAAATATATATTCCTATAATAGGGGCGAGCTTCCAGGATTTTCAATGCACCGCATCTTCCTTGGAGATTGGAGAATGGGAAATGTTGATCAGATTTTCAGCAGGTCATCAAAGGCAGATAGAGAAGAGAAAGCACTTACCAAGGATTTACTTGGAGAAGCCCCTGACTTTAGACTAAGTGGTTAGGAACAGCATGGCAATTGCTTCCCTTTGACTGCCAATAAGTTTTGCCTTCTCTAATCCAGGTGCATGTACACTATGAAATTAATCCAGTTTGATCCCACTTCAACCACCAGGGCTCAAGGCTTTGGAATCCTGGGATTTTGGGCAACGAAGGCCCTTGAAAAATGGCAACTCCCCGGATTTCGTGCCGTTGAGCCATGGCGCTTAACGTGCTATGGAGTTTAGATGCACCCTTTGCCTGTCCTCCCACCCACCTGGCCATCTGGAATCTCTCAGTTTGGGGCCCGTCCTTGACTTAGGTGCCTGCGCCCTGTCAATAAAGATCTATTGCACTACTAAAGCGTGTGTGTTTGTGTATTTTTCCATTATTTCCTGGAATCAAAGTTTTCCCAATTTTGGCAAGTATGGAATCTTAGAGTTGGGATACCCCCAAAGGCCATCCAGTCCAACCCATTTTGGCCAGGCAGGAAGACACCATCCAAGCCCTCCCGACAGATGGCTACCCAGCCTCAGCTTAAACACCACCAGAGAATCCTTGAGTTGGAAGAGATCCCCAAGGGTCATCAAGTCCAACCCCCCTGCCATGTAGGGAGATACAATCAAAGTCCTCCCAACAGATGGCCATCTCACATCACTAGACTCACTAAGCTCCTATTGACGAAGATTAGTTTCCATGAATATTGTAGGGAATGTCTGAGTCCCTCTACGGAGGTAGGGAAGATCAGGATACAAAAGTTTTAAATAAATAATACATTTAAATAATGTGCATATTTTTTACTTTGTCAATCGTGACATTTGACATTGGGATTCTTCCTTAGAGAAAAAGAGCAGTGGTTATAGAATCATAGAATCAAAGAGATGGAAGAGACCTCATGGGTCATCCAGTCCAACCCCCTGCCAAGAAGCAGGAATATTGCACTCAAATCACCCCTGACAGATGGCCATCCAGCCTCTGTTTAAAAGCTTCCAAAGAAGGAGCCTCCACCACACTCCGGGGCAGAGAGTTCCATTGCTGAACGGCTCTCACAGTCAGGAAGTTCTTCCTCACGTTCAGATGGAATCTCCTCTTGTAGTTTAAGCCGGGTTTGGGTAGCTTAAGCCGGGTTTGGGGGTTGTGTAAGGCTCTATTGTGGGCCATGGGAATCTGGTCCCTGAATATATATTGAGCCCCAATATGGTTTGGGTACATAGAAAAGCTATGAGACCTCCTTGCATGAGTGCCACTCTCTCAGCCACAAAGGAAGGCAAGTGGCAGTCTTCCACCGGATGAATCCGGCCCAAAAAAGCCTTCTAAGGGTCAGTGTTGGCTTGAAGGCGCAAAGCAACGATGAATGAAAAATGTTGGATGGGTCCCTTCCGTTCCACTGACAGTTTGCCATAATTTTTGGATTTCTGAAAATGGGCACGAGGAAGCAGCCTCTGGATAAAGACAACGACAACGACAATGATGGTGTGGCATAATGTAAAACAAACCATGTGTAGTTCATGTTTGATCAGCCCACACACTGCTGTGCTAGAGAAAGAAAATATGTCACGTAGAGGAACAGTAAAGAACAAGTAGTTTACTCTTCTTAATTCAGAACAACATGTACAATGTGATCAGTTGCATCAACTCACATAATGTCCTTTTATGAGAGATTTAAAATAGTCTTTCTTTGTCCATTTGGATAAACTCTTTCAGCAGCTCATGAAGCAGGAGTACACTCTAAAATATATCTCTCTGCATCTCTCTTTTGCTCTCTGCACCTGCAATAGTTCAAGCCTGAACAAAAATGTAACAGCAACCAAAAGTCCCAGGCTCAGCCATCACTCTAGGCATTGTCTGACCAATCAGCTTCATGCAACTTATTTTGCAGTTGACACACAGCCACATTAATTGATTCTTTGCATGCTCCAACAGATGGGAGGTGAACAGGAAGAGGAGGAAGAAGGAAGTGAGAAGAAGGGAGAGAAAGTAAGGAAAGAATGAGAAGAGGAAAGATGGCAAGAGGAAGAAGAGTGAGGAGGAGGAAGAGAATAAGGAACTGCAGGGGAAGAGGAAAAGAGTAAGGAGAAGGAGGAATAGGAGAAGAGGAAGGAGCAAGAGAAGAGGAAAAGAGAACAAGAAGAGAAGGATGAGAAGAAGAGGAAGAAGGAAGAGAAGGCAAAGAGAAAAATGATGAGAAGAAGAGTGAGGAGGAGGAAGAGAATAAGGAACTACAGGGGAAGAGGAAAAGAGTAAGGAGAAGGAGGAATAGGAGAAGAGGAAGGAGCAAGAGAAGAGGAAAAGAAGAGAACAAGAAGAAACAGGAGAAGAAAAAGAAGGAGAAGAGAGAGAAGGCAAAGAGAAAATAATGAGAAGAAGAGTGAGGGGGAGGAAGAGAATAAGGAACTACAGGGGAAGAGGAAAAGAAAAGTGGGGAGAAGGAGGAATAGGAGAAGAGGGAGGAGAAACAAGAGAAAAGAAGAGGGAGGAGGAAGAGAACAAGAAGAGCAGCAGGAGAAGAAAAGGAAGGAGAAGGGAGAGAAGGCAAAGAGAAAAAAGATTAAAGGAAGAAGAGAAGAATGAGGAAAAGGTAAAAGGAGCTGCAGTGGAAGAGTAAGGAGGAGGAAGAGAAGTAGATTGGGAAGAAGTGGAGAAGCAAGAAGATTGAAGAGGGGAGGAGAAAGAGGAGAAGAAAGAGAAGTAGAGAAGGAGGACGAGGAATGTCTGACAGAGTCGAACTGGGCATCAAAAACCATAGTAAAGGAATCCCCCAATTGCAGCCACAGCCACAGCCGTGTTATGGGAAGAACATCCACCTGTAGAAGGAAAAAAATAATAATTTGGCATCAGATACATTACTGAACACTGTCCTCGCTGATCCTCAGGGTGTCCTACTTTGCAGGGTTGTTGGGAGAATAATAAGCCAAGCAAGCCACATACAAAAACGGAGATCGTAGGACAGCAAAAGAAGGGAAGAGGACAAGAATCGATTCATTTGAACAGCAGTATGGAAGGACACCAGAAAGAGAAATGAATGGGCCCAAAAGCAAACCAAGCTTTGCAAGAGCTGCGCAGGGCAGTTGGTATCATTAGAAGCCTCATTTATGGGGTTGCCAGAAGTCCAATTGAAGGCCATTAATAAGGGAGAAATATAGATAGATAGAGCGAGCTGCGTCCAAAACATATCACCTCAAATACACAACCACACATGCAAGCCAATCCCTTCTACCTTTATTAAATTTCTCTGTTCTCTTCATTCTTTGTGGTTTGTGGACGGGGTCTTCTACATTTGGAGGAGGATCTTCTGAAGGGAGACGGGAAAGGCTCATTAAAGCAGGCGCTGCATTGAAAAGCTTCTTCTGTGCTATCTTTCTGCTTTGGCCTACCTTGCAGGGTTGGTGTGGGAGGAAAGCAGGATGGAGGCAAACCAAGAAGGGCCTTGAGCTCATTGGGGAGGAAAAGCAGGATGAAAATGCTATCCAGGAAGGAAGAAAACCTACTGCACAACAAACATCTTGAGCAAAACAAGAGCTTGAAGGACAGTGCCGGGTTTTGCTTCTCCAGATTAAGTCCTTATTGAGTTCAGTGAGTGCAATGAGATTATAATCTTACACCTTTCAAAAAAAATGTAAAGTGCATTTAGCTTCTATGTACTCTATATAACATTGTTTCTCAACCAGGGGGTCAAGGCTCTGGGGGGGGGGGGTCGCGAGAGGGTGTCAGAGGGGTCACCAAAGACCATCAGAAAACACAGCCTTTTCTGTTGATCATGGAGGTTCTGTGTGGGAAGTTTGGCCCAATTATATCGTTAGTGGAATTCAGTATATTCTTTGGCTGTAGGTGAACTATAAATCCCAGCAACTACAGCTCCCAAATGTCAAGGTCTATTTTTCCCAAATGACATTAGTGTTCACATTTGGGCATATTGAGTATTCGTGCCAAGTTTGGTCCAGATCCATGATTGTTTGAGTCCACAGTGCTCTCTGGATGTATTTGGACTATAACTCCCAAACTCAAGGTCAGTGCCCACCAAACCCTTCCAGTATTTTCTGTTGGTCATGGGAGTTCCATGTGCCCAGTTTGGTTTAATTCCATCGTTGGTGGAGTTCAGGATGCTCTGTTATTGTAGGTGAACTATAAATCCCAGCAAATACAACTCCCAAATGACACAATCAATCCCCCCAACCCCACCTGTATTCAAATTTGGTTGTTATCAGGTATTTGTGCCAAATTTTGTCGAGTGAATGAAAATACATCCTGCATATCAGATATTTACACTAGGATTCATAACAGTAGCAAAATTACAATTATGAAGTAGCAACAAAAATAATGTTATGGTTGGGGGTCACTACAACTGTGGAACTGTATTAGGGGGTCGTGGCATTAGGAAAGTTGAGAAACACTGCTCCATAGAGACCAGGGTTCGAATTGTATATAATTGTATAACTATACTGAGGTGCGTCTCCACTGTAGAACGAATGTGGTTTAATCCCACTTGAGCTGCCATGGCCCAAAGTTATGGAACCCTGGGAGTTGTAGTTTTGCATGGCTTTCAGCGTTCTCTGCTAAACTGCAACTCCCAGGATTGCAGAGCATTGAGTCATGGCAGTTCAAGTGGTTTCAAATGGTATTCATTCTACAGTGGAGACGCACATTTTGGAGTAGATTTGTTCTCCAATGCCATAGACTCCAGTCCAGTCTGAAGTTCCAGGAGGACGCATTTTGGCTGAACTTTTTAGAACAGACTTTTGGATAATAAGTGGTTCTGCAAAAGGATCCATTGTTTGGATCTCTTTCTGTGGACATCTTTCAGACCTGGGTTGAAACTTCCCAACTGGAGATGCTGCGTTGGGCAAAGGGTTGGACTAGATGGCCCCAAGAGGTCCCTTCCAACTCCACAATCCCATGAATCCACCCCAAATATCTTGCCCACTCACCGTACATCCAAAAACATCCCTTTTCTGGGAGCTGCCAGCTGAGGATACGGTCCAGCCATTCTGGCTTGTAGAAGTTGGAGAACCCCGCCAAGCCGCAAAACATAACTGCGGAGAAGGCAAAAGAAGGATATCCATAGCATGTTGGCCAAAGAGAAAGGGATCAAAGGCAGAAATTGTCAGACATGGCTAGACTCAATGTCAAGGGGAAACCTTTCTCTTTACCTTTTTATCCCCCAAAGTACTAGGCTTGTGCACAAATTCAGAGTGGTTAGTTCCCTTTGGCCAATCTGGCATGTTTGGCTTGGCCAGATGGCCGTAACGGTAAGGGCCCAGCCATCATGTTTTCCATCCGTTACGGGACTACATGGCAGCTTCGGCATCACGCGTGAGAAGAGGCTGCCACGTGTTGCCACGTGTTGCTCCCTGTGAGCCCTGCCTGTTGGGCCAATCTGAATCTGAACACTGTGACGTGTCTTACGAACTGTTTCCTTCACCCCCTTGCTGAAACCCAGACTCCCTTGAAAGGCAGAAAGGAAAAGGACCCAGGAATGGCGCTTCCTTAACCGCGTTCCTCAAACCCAGGTTCCCTTGAAAGGAAGAAAGGAAAGGATTCCAGGAATGGAAAGGGGAGCCTTGTAAGTTCCCCATTGCCTCCAGTTAGAAGGATCTTCCAAGATCTTTTAGCTGCCTAGCTGAAAGCAGATATTTTCATTAGCCGATTTTCGGGAGGCTCCAGAAAAATGGATCTGGGTACGCAACAAAATTCTGATGCCAAAACTGGATCGTCGTCCAGCCGAATTGCACAAGTGCAAAGCCCTTTCGCTAAAACAAAAGGCCTCTCCGAGGAACCAGCATGGCAAATTGGTTTGAAGGTTGGTTCACGATTCAAGGGACCTGGATTCGAATAGCTGTTCAGCCATTCAAACCTATTAGGTAGGTCACATTCTCTCAGCCTCTTGCAGAGAAAATCTTTTGAAAGGTCACTTGAGAACATGATGTGAAGGCACACAACAACTACCCGAAATAAACTTTGGAGCCTTAATGAATAGGATACTTTGAGGACGGGGATGCAACAATTTTTCTTTTGGGGGGGGGGGGGCTAATGCAGCTCTCTCGCCTCCTACATTTGCCCATTCTTGGGCTATAAGGGTTTTTTTCGATCTCCAATTGTCGTTTTTCAGGGCCCAGTATCCATACTGGGGGACCTGCCAACCAAGGACGGAGGTTGCCCATCAAAGGCGACGAACCTCTCATTCCAAAACAGCCAAGAAACGTGACATGACATCCATGGAAAGTTACATGACATCCTTTTAAAACCAACTGGCTCACTGTTTTCCGTAAAGAGGTCTCCCGGAGCATTCAGAAGCGCGTTCTTTTGGGGATGAAGGTTTTCCTGCATCATCAAACAGCACAAGACGTTCCTATAAAATCTGGCGTTGAGGAACAAGGGGTTCCGACATCCTTTCTAGGCACAGAAGGGATAGGAAGAAAGGAAGCCATGACCGCTTGCAGTTTGGCAAGGTCTTGAGCCAAACAGCCCATAGCATTGAGCCAGGGCCATTCAAGTGGTGTCAAACTGCATCAATCTCGCAGTGTAGATGCACCCAGGGAAAGGGAAGGTTTGTCCTTCTCCTTTCTTCTTCCTATGTAGGTGTAACGTCTTACCATTTCTGCAAAGAGGAAGTTGAAGAGCTGGTGGGACAATGCATAATCGGAGCAGTGGGTTTGGGTCATAAGGCGGCTGCACTTTCGTGGGACGAGGCAAGGCTCCCCGTCATCCTTCCTGGGCAAAAAGGATGGAGTTAGGCACACTTCTGTGGTCAGGTGAGAGGAACTGTACTTTTTCAGTTAAAAACACCTGGGAAAAGAGTTTTAGGTCCCTTCTACACTGCCATATAATCCAGATTATCAAAGCAGATAATCCACTCTCTGCTTTGAACTGGATTATGTGAGTCTACACTGCCATATAATCCAGTTCAACGCAAATTATCTGGATTTTATATGGCAGTGCAAAAGGGGCCTTAGTGAACCACAAGCTGAGGATGAGCCAAGTGTGTGATGCAGAAGCAAAAAAGGTCAATGCAATTCTAGGATCCTTGTGTATAGATTGAGGGAAGTAATATAGGTTATGGGTTGACAGTAGCTTTATACGTATTTCTATGTTGTTGTTCATTCGTTCAGTCGTCTCCAACTCTTCGTGACCTCATGGACCAGCCCATGCCAGAGCTCCCTGACGGCCGTCACCACCCCCAGCTCCTTCAAGGTCAGTCCAGTCACTTCAAGGATGCCATCCATCCATCTTGCCCTTGGTCGGCCCCTCTTCCTTTTACCTTCCACTTTCCCCAGCATAATTGTCTTCTCTAGGCTTTGCTGTCTCCTCATGATGTGGCCAAAGTACTTCAACTTTGTCTCTAGTATCCTTCCCTCCAATGAGCAGCCGGGCTTTATTTCCTGGAGGATTTCTATATCTATATCAATATCTACATCTATATGTGTGTGTGTGTGTGTATATATATATATGGAGCCCCTGGTGGTGCAGTGGGTTAAACCGCTGAGCTTGTTGACGGAAAGGTTGCAGGTTCGAATCTGGGGAGCGGCTTGAGCTTCTGCTGTCAGCCCCAGCTTCTGCCAACCTAACAGTTCAAAAACATGCAAATGTGAGTAGACCAATAGGTACCACTCCAATGGGAAAGTAATAGCGCTCCATGCAGTCATACTGGCCACATGACTTGGAGATGTCTACGGACAACGTCAGCTCTTCGGCTTAGAAATGGAGATGGGCACCAACCCCCAGAGTTGGACACGACTGGACTTAATGTCAGGGGAAAACCTTTACCTAGGAGTCTAATGTATACATTGAGGGAAGTAATATAAGCTATGGGTTGACAGTAGCTTTATACACACACACATACACACACCCCTATTAAAGGGATTTAGGAGTCTTAGTGAACCACAAGCTGAGGATGGGCCAAGTGTGTGATGCAGCAGCAAAAAAGGCCAATGCAATTCTAGGAGTCTAATGTCTAGATTAGGGGAAGTAATGTAGACTATGGACTGACAGTAGCTCCGAGGGTATGTATATGTGTGCGTGCACGCACACACACCTATGAAAGGGATCTAGGAGTCTTAGAGGACCACATGCTGAACGTGACTCAAGCTTGTGATGCAGCTGCTAAAAAGGCCAATTCAGACGTAGGATTCTAGTGTCTAGACCAGGCATGGACAAACTTTGGCCCTCCAGGTGTTTTGAACTTCAACTCCCACAATTCCTAATAGCCTACTCCTGGAGGGCTGAAGTTGGAGTCCAAAACACCTGGAGGGCTGAAGTTTGTCCATGCCTGGTCTAGATTGAGGTCCCTTCCACACAACTGTGTAAAATCCACAATGAACTGGATTATATGGCAGTGAGTGTGGACTCAGATAACCCAGTTCAAGGCAGATATTGTCGATTGTCTGCCTTGATATTCTAGGTTATGTGGTTGGGGGATGTAATAGAAGCTATGGATTGACAGTAGCTAAAAAGCCCAATGGGATTCTATGAAGTCACAGCCCTGCTCTATTCTGCTTCGGAAAGACCTCACCTGGAATAAGAACCCAGGTCCAACACTCAAAAGAGGATGGCAAGGACTCACGTTCAGATGGGAAAGAGAGGGGAGGAAATCCCTACCAGGATCCTAAGAGGAAGGAAAGGCACACATCGCTCTCTTTTAAATCCAGACAGGAGCCGTTTGTTGGGGTGAAAGCGACCGCATAGTCCAGCCGCTCAAAGCGCTCTGGGACCTTCCAGAAGCTGGGACGCAAAACCTGGGCCCATTCTGCAAATCAAGCAATGAATACGTTTATTAAAAAGGAGAGAAGAACTAGAGCGGAGTAGCCTAAGTACTAGACCAAGGGGGTCCCCAAACTAAGGATTTCATCACATTGAAGAAGGGAAGTCTTTGGTAGAGTAGAGCTCAGTCTTACTCAGTTGTGAAATGAAACGGGTGATTTCCCTACCTTTGTCACACTGTTAAATGTATCCATGTTACTCAGTTGTACTCAGTATTCTTTCAGTAGATTCGCCATCACACTGCAACCACTGGGCACTGCCCCCTCTCTCTCTTACTCTTGGCTGCCCCACAGAGAAGGGTGTGGACCTTGGAAAACTATAACTCCCAGGACTGCATAGTATGGAGCTATGGTATTTAAAGTAAGGTCCAGCTGCATCCATTCCACAGTGTAGATGCACCCAGAGAAGGTTCGTGGAATTCCCAAGACCATCTCATGGAGACAGGGTTGCATCCATTCCACACTGTAGATGCAACCATGGAAGGTATGGACCTTGGGAAACTATAACTCCCAGGAGGGAAGTATGGCATTTAACGTGGGGCACAAGGGCATTCATCCCACACTAAATGCACCAGGAGAAGGGTATGGACCTTGGAAAACTATAACTCCCAGGACTGCAAAGCACAGAGACATGGCACAATAATAATAATAATAATAATAATAATAATAATAATAATAATAATAATCCTTCTCTCCCAGCTTTCCCATGCAATACAAGGCACAGGCATATTACGGAAGGAAGGGAAGGGAAGGGAAGGGAAGGGAAGGGGAAGGGAAGGGAAAGGGAAGGGAAGGGAAGGGAAGGGAAGGGAAGGGAAGGGAAGGGAAGGGAAGGGAAGGGGAAGGGAAGGGAAGGGCCCTCTTTCTCCCTCCCAAACAGGGAATGATGGAGGGGAGAAAGAAAGGAAAAGTTAGAAAGAAAAGGAGGTAGGAAACAGAGTTGGAAGGTAAAGAAGAAAGGAAGGAAGGAAACATGAGAGGGAAGGAAGAGAAGAAAGGGAGAAAGAAAGTTAGGAAAAAAGGATAGAAGGAGAAAAGGAAGTAGGTAGGAAACAGGGAATGAAGGAAAGAAGAGGAGAAAGAAAGGTAGGTAGGGAGAAGAAGAGGGGGGAAGGAGAAAAGGAGGAAAGAACTCTAGGTAGGAACAAAGAAGGAAAGAGAATAGGAGAAAGGAAAGAAGAATAGGTAGGAAAAAGTGGGGGAAAGATTTCATAAAGTGTGGTGCAGTGGTTTGAAGCGGAAGCTGGATGGCCATCTGTTGGGAGGACTTTGATGGTGCCTTCCTGGCAGAATGGGTTTGGTCTGAATGATCCTTGAGTGCCCTTCCCAACTCTAAGATCTGGATTGTGTTGACTGGATGGCCATCTGTTGGGAGGGCTCGGATTGTGTCTTCTTGCCTGGCAGAAGAGGGTTGGGCTAGATGCCCTTTGGGAGTCTCTCTCAACTCTAGGGTCCTAAACAGAGTTCCAGCTGGAGAGACATCCAAGCTGGGCGTGCTTTACGTCCAATGCAAATATCTCCAAGGCATTGGCACAAAGAACATCCTGCTTGCAAACAAATAAAGAGACATTCAGCCACAGAGCCACTGAAATTCAAAAGCTTCCTGAAATAAATACTAAAATAGAGGACAAAGATTCAGACAACTCAGTTAAAATTCAATTTCAAAGCAGATCCACAAACATAATAAATTAAAGAAATGCATTTTCTGCAACCGCTCAATGCTCAGCACCTTTGCCCCAACGACAGCTAGTTCTTCTGCCCAAATAACATGTCTTTTACCTCTATAAGAATCAGGATTTTCCAATTCCAAGGCACTTCGGGCCTCTTCCATCCCGGCAGAGAGTTTCTTCTCCAGAAGCGCAACGCGTTTCGAATCCGGCTCCAACCCGGGCTTTGTCTCCCATTTTGCCAAGGTTTTGTTCAGATAGGCTGGTCATTTGCAGAAGGATAATACATAATATTAGCAAAGGCAGCAAGGGGCATTGGAAGTTTATTTACCGGGTGTCAACTGTTTGCATACGAAGCATACTATAAATCCCAGGATCCCACAGGAGGTTGCCAAGAACTGGATATTAAAGGTAAAGGTAAAGGTTTTCCCCTGACATTAATTCAATCGCGTCTGACTCTGGGGGTTGGTGCTCATCTCCATTTCTAAGCCGAAGAACTGGCATTGTCCATAGACACCTCTAAAGTCATGTGGCCAGCATGACTGCATGGAGCACCGTTACCTTCCCACCAGAATGGTACCTTATTGATCTACACACATTTGCATGTTTTTGAACTGCTAGGTTAGCAGAAGCTGGGGCTAACAGTGGGAGCTCACCCCACTCCCCGGATTCAAACCTGCGACTTTTCAGCCAGCAAGTTCAGCTGCTCAGCGCTTTAACCCACTGCACCACCGGATGAGAAAAACAAGTTTTGAAAGTAAGTGTGAATTTGGAGGTCAAGCTCAGCAATGGCTTCACTCCCGGTTTTAGTCTGAACTTTTAAGGAACTCCCTTTGGAACTGAACCCCGAACTGGGGTTGAAACATTTCCTTCAAAGTTTAGACTGAAACCAGAGCAGATTCCCACCATTTCCCATCCCCTTTGATGCAACCATGAGCATGCAGAATATCAATGGGCCTTCTTTAAGAGGAAAACATGTTGAGGACAGGTACCTTGCAAAACCGCAAATCCCAATATGGCGTCTACGTTGATATCTTGGCTTTCCTCCTCCAGGAACAAAGCGGCTCTTTCCAGGGCCAAAAGGATGTCACTCCTCTGCTGCTTCTGCTCCTCGCATCTAAATGAATGGATAAGAAGGTGGCAAAGGAACAGCCAGGAGACGTAGTGCAGCCTCCAAAGCATCCTGGTTTTGCTGGAGTGTGTGCGACTTGACCCTTTGCTTTTCGGTGGTTCTGCGGTTGAATGGCTTTTGAACCGTTTGCAAGCCGGATGTTCTCTATGCCAATGCCTTGGAGATGTTTGCATTGGACCTGAAGCACGCCCAGCTTGGATGCCTCCCATTAATTCCGCTCTCCAGCTGGAACTCTTTTAGGAACTCTAGAGTTTGGAGGGACTCCCAAGGGCCATCTAGTCCATCCCTACTCTGCCAGGCAGGAAGACACAATCCGAGCCCTCCCAACAGATGGCCATCCAGTCAACACAATCAGATCTTAAGAGTAGGAAGGGGCACCCAGGGTTCGTCCAGTCCATCCCTAGTCTGCCAGGAAGACACAATCTGAGCCCTCCCAACAGATGGCCATCCAGTCAACACAATCCAGATTTTAAGAGCTGGAACAGGTTCCAAAGGGTTATCCAGTCCAAACTCATTCTGCCAGGGAGGCACCATCAAAGCCCTCCTGACAGATGGCCAGCCAGCCTCTGCTTAAAAAAACTCAGAGAAGGAGATTCCAACACAATGTATGGCAGTTGCAATGGTATCACTTCTTGGCCTTTTGGTTAAGATCAAGTGCAGATCTTCAAGTTGTAAAGGACACTCAAGGGTCATCTGGTCCAATCTCCTTCTACCAAGCAGGAAGGCACCATCAAAGCCCTCCCAACAGATGGCCAGCCAAACTCTGTTTCAAAAGAGATGGAAACTCCACTGAACTCCCAGGAAGCATATCCCACTTGCAAACATCTCTTTAGTCAGGAAGTTCTTCTTAATATTTAGGTGGAGTCTCTTGTTTTAATTGCTCCATTGTCTTCTACACTCCAGAGCAGCAGAAAACAATGGGACATCCTTTGAAGCTAACAGGGATTTATAGTTTCCGGAATATTGACCATTTTGCTCACCCTTCTCGGGACACCTCCCAGTTTGTCAACATTCTTCTTGAAATTGTGCCTATCTGTTTTCAGATTTGGTGCAGAACAAATGGTGGCACATGTATGTGCAGTGGCCCTGGAAGCCCCCTCCAAAGTTTCCCAACCCAATTTTTGGAGGAAAATGTTGATTTTGTCATTTGGGAGTTGTATTTGCTGGGATTTATAGTTCACCTACAATCTGAGAGCATTCTGAACACCACCAACAATGGAATTGAACCATACTTGGCACACAGAACTCCCATGACCAACAGAAAATACTGGAAGGGTTTGGTAGGCATTGGTCTTGACTTTTGGAGTTGTAGTTCACCTACATTCAGAGAGCACTGTGGACTCAAATAATGATGGATCTGAGCCCAACTTGGCATGAATACTCAATATGCCCAAATGTGAACACTGGTGTCATTTGGGGAAAATAGACCTTGACATTTGGGAGTTGTAGTTGCTGGCATTTATAGTTCACCAATCAAAGATCATTCTGAATTCCACCAAGGATGAAATTAAACCAATCTTGGCACACAGAACTCCCATGACCAAGAGGAAATACTGGAAGGGTTTGGTGGGCATTGACCTTGAGTTTTGGAGTTGTAGTTCACCTACATCCAGAGAGCAGGAGGAGGGCTTTTAGTGGGAGGATTCACCATCTGTTTCCAAAAAGGAAGAGAAGGACAAGCGGAGAGATCTTCAGCCTTCTCTGCCAAAGGTGTTCCTAAGACTGAGCCCAAGCGCAGCGGGGAGCCCCGCCTTCACATTGGTGTGAGCTGCAGCGGAGAGTTCCGCAGTTCCTGGACCAAGCTTTTGGGACCAACAGATGAAATGTGCCCCAGCAGCTAGCTCAAAACCAGGAATGCTTGCAGTTTCACCTTGCTTTCCCCTTCCCTTTACTTTGTATCCTTTCCCTAATAAAAGTACTTGAAACTTGCAACTTTTTATCTTTCCGCATGCTACTTTTGTATCCTTTCTTGACTCAAACAAAATAACATTGCAATAGACCTTTTTTTGGGCTCCGGAGAGCCGTGAGCCCGCGGGAGGCGCCTCCAGGCGCCCCCCGGACCCCGAATCTGCGTTCGCCTAGACCGCGGATACGGAAACCGCCATTTCAGACCCCCTTATCCACGAAAATACTTAAGATGGCGGATCGCCGCCGTTCCAATTTTATATTTTTCTACAACTAATTCTAAGACTAACTGCCATTTCCCTTTTCTCGTTTTGGGCTCCTTCACCCGGGAAAAAATTAGTTTTGTTTTAAGTATTTTATCTTGCAGAGAAACAGCTGATTGTCAATTTGGCTGGGCTTTCCGCTCCTCCGCGGCAGTGCTCGCTCCCAATTGGACCCAGCAACCTGGGACCCACGGCGGTCGCCCGTGGGAGCCCCGGAGAGGGGGCCAGGCATGGGTCCCGGGCCCCGACTGGGGAGATACAGTTTCCCAAAGGACATTGCCCCACCATTTACAGCTCGGAAATCCTCTTCGGACTCTTTTGCCCTCACTTATTGACTTTCCACCTTATTGCCTTGAACTGTTTCCCTGCCATACTTTTGGATCCAAACCTCAGACCGGGCTTGCCTGGAGGGACAAGCGGCCTCAGCCTACATGCGCCTTCACCAAGAAGACTATGATTTCTACAGAAATAGAATGCATTTGTTGTTTTTAATAAACTTTGCTGGGATGGGGATGGGGATTCATTTATGAAATGTATGAAGTATATAAGATGTATATAGTGGGATATCATATGAAATGCACCCTGGTTCCCCTTCCCGCCTTTCCCTCTGAACTTCGCCCCKAAAAAAGGAATGTGACCTAAGATTACTGCAAAGAGGAAATCCTTTGTCCTCTCGAAACTGATCATATCTACATCTGCATGGGCCGCAGGATTGACCCTTCCTCAACTGGCTTTCAGAGCAGACAGCCTAGGGCYGGAAGGGTCAACAGAAACTTAGGAAAAAAGATTGATTAACTKATTTTCTAGGTATTTGTTGATCCCCCTTGTTTACAAGGCCCCGAGGTCCAAATACCATCAATAGCTCCTTTTTCACCTTTTTCATACTTCCTCCCAAATCCAATCATAGACCGGGGAAACTCATTGTTCCCCTTGTCTGCCACCCCGCCGATGAGAACAAAGGCTCAGTAACAGCTGGCGGATGCCCCCTGGGCACCCCATTTCCCCTGAGCTGTCAAACTTCGTCCCGCCTCCTGGCTGCTGATTGGACCATCGTCGGAGGCGCTAGGAAGACGCCGATTGGCCCCCTAGAGGCGGCAGAGCTCGCTGATTGGACAGGAGGCGGGACGCACAGTCAAGCCTCCTCCCAGCTGTTCCGCGGCCAGCCAATCAGGGTGAAGCCGGCCGGCAGAGGGCGGGCGGGATTTTTGAAAATGTTTCCTCTGTCTGTACGCTATAAAAATGCCTGGAACTTCTGTAAATGTATGCTTGTATGTGAATGATCACTGCAATCGCATCCTTTTCAGCTGAATCGCAGAAATAAACGCTTCGGTCACTGAACCTCTTCAGCCTCCGGTGAGATTAATTTTTAATATTTTTCGCTCTTTGGATTGGCTTTCGCTGGCTGCTCACCGAGGTCAAAGGACCCCTTTAGCGGTCTTCAGGGATCCCTCCCGCTGGGAGACCCCCACAAAAGAGCTCGATATCAAGACCATCAGAAATATGGATTTTCTGGTGGTCTTTGGTGACCCCTTTAAAACCCCACATGTGACCCCCAGGTTGAGAAACACTGGATCAGACCCTAATTGATGGCACTGTGCTTGCAAAACAGAGTACTTTTAAAAAGTTCCCTCTTCACTGCATGGAGCTACAAGAGGTTTAGTCTGTTTGGGAATCATTTCTCACACTCTGAGGCTTTTATTTTCAAAGCTTGTTTGTGCAAAAAGCAAAAACCCTCCCAAACCCATACTGTTCATATGCAAGTCGTTTTGTTTCTTAGGCGTCGTCAGTGCCACGCAGAACCTTTAAAAGGCCAATGTTGATCCTAGGCTGTATCCATAAGAATGGAATGTTTGGATGATCAGTTTGGATTGATGGAGTGAGAAGGCCAGGAGAATGTCTCCTTTGTGACCCACTTCTGGTTGTCTAGGAGATAGTGCAGTCTTCCTTGGGCGAGACTCCATTTCACAGGTGAGAAAGATGGAGCCGGGTGACTGCCCTTATGTCTCCCTGTGGGAAATGGCCTTAGGTTTAGCTGTTCTTTGGGGGAACCTGTTTATCCTCTTCAGCTATGTCATCTTCAGGATGATGCGACGTTGGCTAGCCCGAAAGTCTCCTAAGGTTAGCAGCTTCACAACATCTTTGAAGAGCAAGACAGTGGAGTCTTTTTTGTCAGAAGACAAGAAGTTCATGAGCTTTTGCGCTTCCCTGCCATCTTGGGAGAGCAAAGAGCTTTCCATTCCCCACAAATCGCAGAGGGCCTTTTTTCCGCCTGCTCCGAAGCACACTTTCCGATTGTCTTCTGAAAGGGAAGTCGTGGTGAGACCAAGGCATCCTCCAAAACTTTTCCGGAATGCAACCTTCAGGAGGATCCTGGAAGAACGCCTGAGGAAGATAGTTGAACAGAGGCGACGGGGACTGCGCCTAAGAGTCCGGGCGATGCTTGCCTTGAGGTGTTTGTCCACGCCTGCCTTCAAGGAGGAGTGCCCTTGTGCTAGAGCGAGGGGTGCAGGAGCAAGGATGCCTCACCAGCGCTGTCCCTGTCATGCTGCCACATCCAGTGAGGGGTCCCATAGCTCTTCCCAAGCCAAAACTTTGATTTGTAGTGGGAAGAACTCGCTCCAGATTAGACCGAAGGCCCTTGCTAAACTGATGGAGACTTCCCAGAAAGTTGTTACCCCAGAAGAGGTGGGGAGGCAGCCTCTGCTCAAGCTGATCCTGGCCACTTCTACTGGCCACCCACAGGAACACAGTGGACCAAGCCTCCTCCTACGGCAGAGGACCGACCGCGTGTCCATGAACCTGGAGTGCAAGTTCCTCCAGGCCCTATGGAACCACCAAACCCAGTCTCTGCCCAAGGCAGCACCCACTCCTTCTCAGCCATGGCCAGATACTCCACCCCAGATATACACAGTCATTGAATTCAGAGGTATAGACACGCCAT